GGCGCGTTGTGTGTTCCTTCGGCTTGTCTTTGCGTGGTGCGACATTGCGGGCGGGATTCGCGATTGAGATAGGTCGAATTAATGATGGGCGTCATATTGGCGAGATCGGGGAGAGGGGGGAATCTGGATGGTCTGCCTTTTTGGTTGACAGTTGGGGGCCACCGGTGAGGCAGGCGAGGGCCAAGGACTTCGAGGTGGGCTTGCGGCGGCGGCGCGGGCGTGGGTTCACTTTTTGGGTCTGCGGCTTGAGGATTGATTTGCTTGGATCGGATTGGCTTTTGGCGGCTTGCTGCCTTGTGTGCTTTGCCTGCCTCCTTACACATGCAACATGTGGGATGTCGACAAGACAGCACATGCAAGTGATGAGCCAGCCCGCCAGAACACTACACTACACCACCCAAGGGAGCATCAGACAAGAGAAGCGGGGAAAGGGTTGTTCAAGACATGTGGTGTGGGATTGATGTTGGTTGGCGCAGGGTGTTTTGAATGGGCTGCTGTCGCTTTTATTCTCGAGGTATTTTGAATCTGGCCGAGAGAGGAAGAGAAAGCTAGCAAGCTAGGTAGGTAGCTGCAGGCGTCTATTTCGAGGGAGGGAGGAGGGGATGTTCTTCCCGTCTGCGTGACTGAGCGTGGTGTCTCTCTCTCTGCAAGCCACTTTTTCTGGACTCTCGGTTCGGATGTGATGTATGTGATCAGTGATGAAGACATGCCGACTGCAGTGTAGCATCTCGGTCCCTGAGGTGGCCTGGTCTGACCGGGACGTGGGCTTAGGTCGGCTTAGGTAATGGCCGAGGTGGAGGATGCCGGTGACGGCACGGCCCTGCCCCGATTTGACCGGGGGCTGACGGGGTTGTGGGGCACGGTGGCCCAAGCTTGAGAAGACGGGAACGGCGGGCCTGACCACTCGTCTGGACAGGACTCCACTTTTAGGACGGTTCGCGGAATTACCTATGCCCGACACCCAGCTCCCGCCCTAGGAAACTAGACGTGGACCGTGCAACGACATGCACCAAGCGTAGGTAAGCAGCGCACGCCGTGAGTGGAGCTGCAAGACCCGCGCGGTTCAATAATTTTTGTGAACACGGGCTTGGCTGTGATATATACTCAACGAGAGGACCGACGATTGACGACCGTCAAAACCACCCCACCCGCGGCCGACCCGAAGAGAAAACCAGAGCCGACCATGTCTCTGCGGCCGAGCTTCCGAACCGCTTGCAGGGCGCTCGCGCTGCGCTCCCGGCCGCTGGCCGCCGCCCCTCGGCAGGAACCCTTCGCCTGGGCCACCACGAGACGAGGATATGCGGACGAGCCCAGCCAGATCCCCCCGTTGAGAAAACCAGACGCCGCTGCTGCGTCTGAGGCTCCCCCGGTGCCGGCCTCCGCGGCGGCCAATGCCCAGTCTGCGGCAGGACAGCAGGTACGGTGCACACGAAGCTCGGAGACGAAACGTGGGGACAAGAAGCTAATGGAGAGAGCAACAGGCGGACGAGAAGCCGGAGGAGCAATGGTCACCACAGGAGGCGGCTGCCGCGCGCGAAGAGCTCGCCAAGGCGGCGGCGCCCACAGAAATCCCCGGTGGCCTGACGGAGGCCCAGATGGATGCGCTGTACGAGGAGGGTGCTATTCCCCCGCAGAATGCGAACGGCGACCCCCAGCGCCAACTCGAGATTCTTGCCTCCGGAGGCATTGTCGCGGATTTGGAGGAGACGAACCGGCTGGAAATCAGCAAGCCTAAGCCTGCGGCGCATGTGGGACACAAGTTCCCGCTGCCGGTATTGCCTCTGCCGCCGCACAGCCATCTCAAGTCGCGGTACCACCCGATGATTGACCAATTGACGAACCTTATGATGAGAGATGGAAAGAAGTCTCTGGCACAAAGAGTGAGGTCTTCCTAGGAGTATTTCTGGTGGTTGGTATGCTAACGGGGGTGCGATAGAACATGGCCATGGTCCTCAACTTCCTCCGACAATCCCCTCCCCCGATTCTCAACCCCCGATTCCCGCTCCTCCCCGGCGCGCCGCCGGCGCCGCACCTCCCGTTGAACCCCGTGCTATACATCACCCTAGCCGTCGACTCGGTCGCGCCCTTGATCAAGATCCGTCGCATCCCGGGTGGTGCCGGTGGTGGTCGTCCCCTCGAACTTCCCGCACCGCTCGCGGTCCGTCAGAGGAGACGTGCGGCATTCGCTTGGATCCTGGACGTCGTCAACAAGAAGCCGTCCAAGGGCTCCGGCCGAACCCAGTTCGCGCACAGGCTGGCAGAGGAGATCATTGCCGTCGTCGAGGGACGGTCGCCCGTGTGGGAGAAGCGCCTTGGGCTGCACAAGCTCGGCACGGCGACCCGTGCCAACTTGAATGTGAAGCCGGTCAGCGCCAAGGGCAGAAATTAGAGTCGAGACTGAAGACGGGGAACCCTATGTAGCAAAGCTGTATATTGTACTATATCATTTGACAAAAGGAAGCAAATGCCAGGGCTCGTAAGGAGCATGATGCCAAAAAGGGGGAAAACGACGGCAGTGATTCTGGCAAGGTCCACTTGACCAGAGCCCGGTCGTGAGCTGCGCAGAGAACCACGATTCGTACGGCGGACATGAGGCTGTATAGAATCGTCAATGGCAATTTCATCGGTGATGCCAGACTTACACGTCGTGGGCCAGGTATGCCGAGCACACCAAAGGCGCGGCTGCCATCGTGCCTCGATGGACTCACAAGGATGGAGAGTAAACTTTGAGAAGTCCGGCATCAGCTCCGTTGTCCAGCAGTTTCGCTCAGCTCCCACCGGGAGGCTCAATTGCTGACTGGAGCCTCAATCATATCGTATTGACGCCTCATACCAATATAAATGGACGGTTTTTAGATACGCAGTTCACAGTTCTCAAACTCTAAATGCCGGTAGTAATCCACGGCTGGCTTCGCCGACAACAGGTTGAGGAGCTCCAACGGCTCAGCCACCACCCTCTAGCTTACCCAAGGCCGCAAAGGTGCTGAGCAGTCTCATGTGACGACAGCACTGCGCCGCCTCCCACCCGAAGCCAAAAAGACAGGAATCATTAGGTTTCGCTGACGTTAATGACAACGGCGGCCGCCGACTCGTCCTCCTCTTCAAAAGCGCCGCCGCTTCCCAAGTCTCGGCAGCCGTGTGTACCACTCTTTGCTGTCTGTTCTGTTCCGATGGGCCGGCTTGTCAGCAACCGTACACGGTGTACAGCACGTCGCCAAGAGACGCCGGGTGTTCTTGGCAATGCACGCCGGCGTCGTCATCGCACTGTTGGCTGCGCACTGTGGTCTCCTGGCCATGGTCATCAGGATGGGATAGGATGGGATGGGAAGAGTGCTTTGTTTTTTTATTCTCTCTTTCGGGTTGTACCATGCCCTTCTCCGTCAGTGGCCGGTAAAGCACGGAGGACGAGAATGAGGTTGCTGGGAAGGGCCCACGCTTACACCAGCGGAACGGGGGCCGCGGGCAAGGGTTGTGGGATCTCGTGGGTTGTGTAAGGCGCCCCCCAGGGACAATATTAGCACGAGGAAGGGCAAAAATTGAATGCGGTGGGTAAAATGGGAATGCGTCACCGTCACCGACTGTGGGTTTCCTGCGGTCGGAGGCGGATTGCGGATCTCCCACAGATAGCTACACGTGTGTGGCGGTGTCGAATGATTGAATCGTTGCATCTTGGATGTTTTTCTGTTGTTAACCGAGGGGTTGATCCCGGGTGTTGACCTCTGTAGGTATCCCGGGAAATCTCTAAAAGAGTCTCTGTCTCTTTCTCTCAATCTTCCTTCCTTAGTAGTCCTTTCGCAAAATCATACGGCGTCTGAAACGAAAGCAGTCACCACCCTCAGTCGATGTACGAGACATAGCGTAAGTGGTCCTCTATCTGAGCTGTTTGCGTGTTGCTTTTTCTTCCCCTTCTGTTTTCGAGCGCACGAGTTCGGGTACGTATTCAGCGGTGCGGAGGCTTCCACGGCGGTTTCGATTTGACAGACAAGTGCGAGGCGGCTGAGTGGCCGAGCGAGCATGCACACTTTGGACGTTTGGCATATTCGTGGTGCCGTCGTTGGCCTTCTTTCCTGTCAGTCAGCAGACCAAAGTTGGGGCGAACCGCGTGAGGAGCATCCCATCTTTGGATTGAGTTTGAGACGTGGAGGCAGCCCGGGATGCAGCTCTCTGGCGTTTGTCGTCGTCGTGCGAACGCCCAGGTCATCCCGTCTTTTCATGGACCAAGAGGAGATTATCTCACCGGGTTTCCAGAGGGGGCAGGTACCACCAGCACCCAAGACGGAGATGACGAAGCGGCCCGACAGCTTCGCATCTCTTTCTCAGGGCAGAGGCATCGGGCGCTAGGTAGCAAGAGTAGCAGATCTTCTTCAGCTCTGGGGAAGAAGCGAAAGAGCCACTCGGGTCCCTCCACTCTTCTCCTCTCAAAGGGCCCACTACGGGGCTGGGCTGGAACTGGAGATGGGATGAGGTAGCCATGGCCCCATCGACGTCCACTGCTGTGGAGGAGAAGGTGCGGCGGCCAAATGACCACCCACCAGACGGGCACCAGGCCCAGCCCCGGGCGGGCACTTAATTCAGGCACTGTGGTTCACTGCAGCCGCTGGACCAGCACGAGCACCTACCTACACCTCCACAGTGTCAAAGGTAGGTTCGCTGCCTGCCCGTCCGCGCCCGCGCCCGCGCCCACTGGTCTGGCTACCTAGGTACCTTACTCCACCTGCACCCTCCCTCCCTTTCAGTGGGTGCTGCACCTAAGGTCTAAGGTTACCGCCTACTGCCACCGGATTGGACTGCTCCCCCGTCTAGTCGTCCACCACCACTGCTACCAACTGCGTTGTGCGCCTGCTTTCCTTCATCTTTCTCCTTCACCCAACTCGCCTAGATTGCCTCCTACACTTTCCTGTTTCTCACCTCAACCGTTGGTCTTGGCAAGTCGGACTCGTGCTTCAGAAGCTAAAGTAGGCCTCCGCTCAGCGCAACCTCGTCACTCTTCAGATCTGGTCCCCCGAAGCCATGATCTAGAAAGCCTCCGCCGACTCGCTTCCTTTCCACTACACGATGCTGTTTCTGCCGTCCAACTTGCACCGCCCACGTCAACATCGCAAGATCATCCCCCGTTAGATCTACCACTCCCCACGTACGCTGCGACAACACCAAACACCTGTATTCGATTACCAGTACCTGATACCGACAACATCATCACTCGAACGAGTTACCAACGCTCTTCTACCGCCCAGGCGACACGACCAAGGAGTCCGTTCGTCTCCACCCAATCCGCAACCACCGCCGAAACCGCAAAACACCCCTAGACGTCAACCAAGATGTCGCGCCAGCCCATGAGCATGGAGGCCATGCTGGACGAGGAGAGACGGGATGTCCTGGCTCTGCTTGAGGGCAGCGCCGCCCGACCCAGCTGGAAGGCAACCTCTCCAGTCTCTGCGCGCTCGCCGTCGCCCTATACCTCGCCCCGTTCTCCCGTGAGGAGTATGCTGGATATTGGCGACGATGGAATCAAGAAAAGCCCGGCCAGGACGACTGTCTTGCCTGTCCGCAGTATGCTGGATATTGATGTCCCTCCCGCACCAGTCAGGAGCATGCTCGACATCGACACATCTGCGCCGAAACAGGCTGCTAGCGCTGGCCCTAGTTCCCCCGTAGAATCTCGCGCACCTCATCCTAGGACCTTTTCCGACTCTGCAGGGCCCAAACCCAGCTTTGGGCCGCGAGCGCCCGTCAACAGGCTGAATCCTACCATGGACTACCAGTTCTCCGATATTGCTACGAACAACCTCGGACAAGCTATGCCCAAGCGTACCACCCAGACTGTAAAGAAGCCGTCTGCTATGGCCGATGTCATGCGTGGCAACGAAATACCCGGCATCGTTCTTCCCGGCGACAGAGCCCGTCACAGCTCTATTGCGTCGAATCCCGTTCCCAGGAACGCCAGGAGCTCGAGTAGAGGCCACAACAGCAAGTCCAAGTCTCCCCACGGCCGATTTGGCATGCGATCTCCTTCTCCCAACGTCAGTGGTCGATTCCAGCAGATTCCCGGAACCGCTGTTCTCGACGACGGCAGGGTGGTCGACATCACCACAGCCTACCGTAAGCTGTCCGATGCCAACCTAGCGTTCAAGGGAGGCGACCTGGGAGAGCTGGCGGCGCGCAAGCACTCGAGCGCCATTGAGCGCAACGGAGGACGAATGGTCAAAGACTACCTCAGCCCTGACGGCGAGCCATTGGAGGAGAGCAGCGATGATGAGGGCAGCTATTCGGATGAAGAGCAGAGAGGACGTAAGATGGCACCTCGTGCTGCAGACCACAGTGGCAAGTCTCCCGCAGGCGACAAGGGCGATCGCAAGACATTGAGTCTGCTGGCCGCAGCCGAAGAAGAGCGTAAGTGGTTTTCTCCGTGGATGCCTCTATGATGCTGACTAGTTGTAGGCATCGACGTCAGTTCGCAGCCACAGTACCAGTACAAGTCCTTGTTGGACGACCCGCAAATCACCCTTACAACACCTACAGGCGAGAAAACCAAGCCATCAAAGCCAGGCGTACATCCTACTACGGCATTTGATCAAGGCCCAGGCTCAGGACCCGCTTCGGCAGTCAACTCCGATGATGAGGAGGCGCTTACGGATATCAAGAGAGCGCAAAGACTAGCCTTCCGATACCAAGACGTGCGGAACCAGAGTGAATTCTCTCGGACGCTCCTAACTTTCTACCGTGGAGAATGGGAGACGATCCAAAAGCAGGCTGAGGAAGAGCACCACAGGTTGAGAAAGTACTTGGTGGCCACCGACCTCAGCGACGAGTCGACCCATGCCCTGGAATGGGCAATTGGCACGGTTCTGAGAGATGGCGACACCCTCATCTGCATGTACTGCGTGGATGAGGAGACGGGAATCTACTCTACGGAGGATGTTATGGTACCAGACGATCCCAAGGCACACAGAGAGCAGGCGGCCGCCATCAACGCCGTCTCCAACTCGAGGACGCCGCCTCCGACTTCATCTGCTCCGTCGTTCCCACATCTAGCCAGAGCGTCTGCGTTGAGTAGCGAGAACGGAACCCCGTCGCCTGCTCCATCAAGCCGTGAGCGCGATAGGGCCGAAGAGGAGCGGCTTAGGGCAATCAACGATATTACAGAACGGGTCACCAAGCTTCTCCGAAAGACGCGGTTGCAGGTGCGGGTCATAGTCGAGGTCCTCCACTGCAAGAACCCGAAGCACCTGATCACTGAGATCATTGATCTGGTAAACCCTACTTTGGTGATTCTTGGCAGCCGTGGCCGCAGCGCACTGAAGGGGTAAGTTGTCCACATGCGGCGGGAAACAAAGAGTTACGCTAACGTGTTGAACAGTGTCATTCTGGGATCATTCTCCAACTACTTGGTTACCAAGAGCTCTGTGCCCGTCATGGTGGCTCGCAAACGATTGCGGAAGCAGAGCAAGTATAAGAGGCCTATGAAGCAAGTTAACATGATCCACACACCGGGAGCTAAGAGCCTAGCCAACGCAAAGGTTGACTAGAAGCCGTCGGAGCCACGGCGCAGGCTTTCAACATTGCTTTCCCGCATGGCGACATATCAGGGCCGGAGGCACAGCACGAACACATGATGGGAGACAGAGGGATAGAAGGAGATTTTCCTTCGTTCGGCTATGGCTTGGAGGCGCTGTAGAGTTCGAGTCGGGTTTGAGGTTAAGCGGAGAGCGTGGGTTAGACTAGACATGAGCCACGCGCGACGTCTCTATTTTTCCTAAGGGGTTCCATAGTTTTGTCAAAAAAGCGGCATACCAGAAAATTCAGATACCTTTTCTACTCTCACAGCTTAATAGCCTTGGAAGTAATCGATGGCCATGGTTGCTTAATGACTCGAATCCGTTGGAGTCAGTGGCAATACGGGAATCAGTCTGACCAGTCGGCAGTCCCAGATTGAGTGAGCTTTTTGTCCACTCAATTAAGCGAGTCTCAATTGAAGGGCTACCTAGGAGTTAGTTGTGAGAGGGAGGGAACTGCGCAGGAAGCGGGCCACTCTCTGTGGAAGGGAGCTGGATTAGGCCCAAGAGAGCAATGACTACGGATACCTACCTACCTTACTCAAGTAGCGACTGACGTGCTTGTGCAGGCGAATGGCTTGCATAAGGCAAAGTGCGAGCGATTATGCCGACCCTTGAGCAGGTGCTCCGCTCCGTACAAAGTCAAGAACGGACTGGAGGCATGTCACAGTCATTCATGATCGAGTCACCTCGCGAGGGAGGAAAGATGGAGCATCCGCAGGGGTCCTCACGCGGGAGTGGTTGATTCGGCGACGGGTTCGGTGAGTGGAGCGGCGAGGTGCGGGGTGATAAGATAGCGAGTCTGGCTGATTGGGGCCAACTCAGAGCGGTTCTTGCTGGGCCCACGTCTGGCGCAATCGCAAGCAGGGAGGAGGGGCAAGGAGAAGTGAAAGACCCTGGGCAATGCAAGCAAGGCAAGGTGGGAGAGAAAGATAGAGAGAGGAAGGGCGATACCTTTTTCAGAAGCAAGTGTATGTTTTGAAAGTGCAAAAGGGAAGGGCCTCAGGTTTCGTGTCTGGTTGGCGTTGAGGGCGAATCGGATGGACCCGACATGAGATGCGATTCGCGCAAGTGTGTTGTTTGTTTACGTTTTGGACGGGACCCCGCCTTCCCTTCTAGTCTGCCCATCGATCCCGTGACTAGTTATGCAACCACTTAAACGCCCGAGGGGGCATGCACGCCTGTTTGTGTGGTAAGGTAGACGCGACAGGGGAGAGATAGGGATTCGTGTGAATACAGAGGGAGGAGGGTGGGAAGTCAAAAAAGAGAGAGAGATTAAGAGAGATTAGCGCTCTGGGAATAGACGATCAAGAAAGGCGACCAGATAAAGAAGTTGGGAGAGGTTCCCCGTCTTCTGTCCGACAATGACATTCATGGTGTCCCCTTTGAGCTGGACCCGGGACGGGAGCTGTGCGTGCCTGTCTGTACCTGGACTTGCCTGAACCGCTGCTCAGCACAGGCGGGGAGGGAAGGAACGATGAACAATGCGGCAGACAGGGCAGACAGGGCAGGCAGGGTAGGGCACTTGCTCTGACGTCCAGGTCCAGCGTTCCAGGTGCCCCACTCCACCCAATCCAGGGCCTGGGATTCGGCCGCTCCCTTGACGGGCTCGGCCGCTGATTGGGCAGCAGGCTCAAACCTGGCAAGTGGATCCGGGAGGTCCCCAACCTCTCGAATTCAACTCGCCGCAGGGTGGTACGGGTGGATGAGGATGTGGATGGGGTGCCGTGGATGCGCAAACGCAAGATGCAGTGGGTGACTTTACTGCCAGTGGGTGGTGAATAAGAAGACGTCCTTGCAGTAATTCTCCCCTCCCCCCCTCCCTCCTCCAACAAGAAGCATTGGATGCCGCTTCTTGCTGCACTCTTCCCGCTTTTCTATGCTTCCTGCGGCCCTCTCAGGTCACTCACCTCGTCCCTCTCTCCCCGTCTTGGGCGACGTCTACGTCTACGTCTACGTCCACCTTGTGTGATATCCGGCCGCTGGGTTCCTTTTACCTTAGATCAACGCATCAATCTACTCTGTTCTGTTACCTCTGCGCATACTCTCTTACTCTTACAAACAACCTTGCGCGCACTCGTTGACACCGACTGGTCTGCCTGATACATACACATACCTTGACCCGAAGACCCCGACTGTCACCTTACCCACTCACCACACCGTCCATCTACATCCTGCCCGACCGCCGGCGCATTCGTGTGAGCCAAAGTACCTTTTCACCGACCAAACGCCATCATCTACCTTCACCTGTCGCAATCCCAACTGCGACCGCAACAAGAGAGAGTGAGCCTTTGCGCAACTTCTCTTGACCAGCTGATATGCTTTCCATGCCGTCGCTGGTCACCGTCAACAACAACGTTTCCCTGCTGAGCATCACCATCGCTCCAAGCACATACGTCGCCACCCTAACCTTGTCCTTCGTCTTCATCTACATCTACCTCGTCCAGATCTCCTGGAAGCCAACTCTCCTCCCAAACTTTAGCTACTTCAAGCGCACAAGTCGCGCGACCAAGACTACAATCGCAGACCACCATCGCTTCGAGGAGCTCCCGCCTCCTCGCACTTACAAGGCACTTCCCGCACCACCCGCCGTAGCATCCGGCGCCCTCGTCCGCCGCAGCCCACGCCGCCAACATGATGGCGCATATGCCGACACCGCCCCCGAGCTTCGAACATCTGGATCCTTTAGACGCCTCTTTGGGCGATTTCGAGCCGACGACCCCTCCCCCGAACCAACAGACCAAAATGCCCTTGTTCGGCTACCCGTCGCACCACTCGGGGTTCAGGTCCGACCTGGACGCAGAGAGCGACCTGGGCCCGGACCCAGAAAACTCAGTCTCCGCCGGTGGCTACAGTCCTCCGGCCTGGCGCCGCCTCGGGAACGGAAGCCGCGACAGCGGCTTCTGGAGGCGGAGTGAAGACATTCTCGGAGCATTCCCCCCACCCGACAGACGTTTGTTCGGCCACAGGTCCAGGGAGTCCAGCCCGGAGCTTGATACCGAAGACGAGGATGAGGATGTCCTGCGCCGCGCAATGCGTACGAGGCTGCCGACGGGTAGCATGAGCCCCGACAAAGGTCGTTCGCCCAGTCCTGAGCCCAGAATCGACGATAGAACGATCAAGCTGAATGAGCTCCAATGGAAGGAGACAAGTCCGTCAGAAGGTACCTTGAATCAAGAGAATTGTAGGACCCCATCATGTCGTGAGTGAGACGAGTAAAGGCAATGCGACTGACACTGCACAGATATCCGATTCGCATTGCGCGCGGAAGTCCAGCAGCGCACAGAACCCATTGAGGCATTCGTCCAGTTCTTCCGCTCCAAATGGCAATTCTTGACTCATTCGTGGTCATCCACGATCCTCTCTACTATTGTCGCGGTGCTTGCCATCAGCGCTATGCGCAACCTCTTCCAGCCCGCGGCACAACTGCCTGTGCCAGATCTTGTGAAGGTCGCCGGCATCGCGCGCTCATTCGAACCACTCATCTACTTTTCAGAAAATGGCGCATCACAGGTCGGCGATTTGCAAGCTACCGGCGTTGCGGTCTGGGATCTCGGCGAGAGCGTGAGGTCAAGCAACATGACCTCTGCGCCCATTATCGTCAAGGAGCTTGACGACCTCAGCGACAGCCTGAAAACCCTAGCTATCGAGCTTACAAAGTTCTTTGCCAATGTCGACGGCGACATTGACGGTATTCTCATCGTCATGGACTGGGCGCGTAGGGAGCTCTCCCACGTCCAGCATCTTCCGTCATCACCCTTCACCGCTGCCTTTGATAACATCCATAACATACTGTCACAAACTGGCGTCCTCGAAGATCCTGGCGGTATCCCGACCCGATTGGGGTCGTTGTCCACATACATCTTTGGCATGTCCAATCCTCAGCGCACAAAGCTGACGCTCCAGCGCACATTCAATGAGTTTCTCACCGTCCTCGAGGATGCCATCAACTCTGAGCTGCAACATTCTCTGGCTCTATTCGCCCTATTCGAGGCCATTGATCATCAGTTCCTCAATCTCGCAAGGACAGTCGTCCGCGAGGCTTCGGCCCAGGATGACCAGCACGCCGACCTGCTCTCGTCCCTCTGGACGCGCATCTTGGGGCCGAATTCGGCGGAGGTCGCCAAGTACGAGCGCAACAGGCTTCTGCTGCAGAATGTCAGGGAGAAGACCGTTCGGAACAAGAGCATCCTAGTCGAACACAACGGCAAGCTCATGGCGCTCAAAGCCAACCTCGAGAACTTGAGAAGGAAACTCGTCAGCCCGCTCGTCCGGTCCGTCAACTCTAGCACCTTGACTCTGGAAGACCAGATCAGGGGCCTGGAGGACGTCGGCGGCTACCTCGAGGGCGTGAGGACGAGGCAGAAGGGCAAGTTGATGGAGATGTTGTACGGCAGCATAGGAAACAACCGCAGGGCGATTGACGAGCGTAAATATGATCGGACGGCGTAAGGAAAGGGGAAGGTTTCCTTCGCAAGCACTCTCTACTCATTTGGGTTGTTTATCTGCATCAACAAAGCATCTGGCGTAGACTAGGACAAACGGAAAACCCCCCCTCGGCACCCGGACTGGATAGATTACTACTAGCGATTGTACGGAGGCTTGCGCCTCTGCGTTGGTAACGGAGTTGAAATGGACATTGGAGGGGGACACATGTACAGGTAGGTTTATTTTGGCTCGCTCTCTCGGAAGGGGATGGAGCTTACAGCTTTGACAGGATGTCAACAGCGCGCGCAAACGGCGGAAGGATGCCTGCGTTTTCTCTCTCTTATCCTTCGGGGATGAGGGATAAGCGGGATGGGGAACTCGTGGCTTGGAACATTTTGGCGGAGTTTTTCTGGGATAGGATTGAATGGGTAGGGATAGGATACCGGTGTCTTTGTACATACTTTTCTCTGTATGAGTTCAGGCCTGTACGTGGCTTGGCTCAATTATTGACTATGTTGTAAGTTACGTTCGTCGGTCATCCTCTGAGGTCCGTGAACGGTGTATAAGTATCGTGATGAGGGATGTAAAGTAAGACGAGCAAGGAGCATCATCGTTTCGAATCGAGGACATGACCAGACAAGAGGCCGAGAGAAGCAGAGCAAAACAAATCGGGCATCCTTACTGAAGCGGAACTATCAGCTCATTGGCGTATTCGGGGTGTAGAATCAGGCGGAGCTGGAAAATCAAAGACAACATCTTGATATGCACAATCTTAGTGTAGCAGCTGTGTAAGACCTTTGGCCTTGCGCTGGGAATCTATGCAGCTTCGTTGATTATTCCTTGGGCAGCTTAGCCACGGGTCTCAAGTTGACAGCATCGTTCGCCTGGTGTGCTATTGGGCATTATTGCGGAGAAGCATGCAAGCATGGCTACTTATGTATATTCTTGGGTTTGACAAGCATTGGCCGTTAAAAGCAGTGCCTTCACTGAGTGTACGACGGACTGCTTGGCACTGAGAAGTGTGTATAATTAAGGCTTGTTGCCATAATATACGCAGCCCGAATTCAATCGAAGATAATATCGCTTCTAAAATATAGCTTTGAAACAGGCTGTACTGATCACTGTCAGTACGAGACGAGGAAATGGGTTCCGTTCAAATGCCCGTTTCAACGCTGCTGCGTGCGCATTCGAGGTAATAAGCAGACAGGAATGATTCGGAGGAGAGGAGAATACAAGGTGGACGAGTTTCATCTGCGATATCGGTCTGCATGACCTTTCATCAGGAATATTCACACAAAGCGTCTCGAGCACCAGAAACATTAGTGTCCAGAGGCGGATATCTGTTAACGGGCATCGATGACTTTGAGCAGCATGGTCGAGTACTTGAATAGTAGTTGGTTGAAACGTCACTTGACGCAAAAGTGATGCTTGGCTACAAGGTCTCTTGATTTACCACCAGAGTGTCTACGACTTGGTTTGTGGTAATGAGACACCTCGTTGAGATAGGTGAAGGTGTATGTAAAAGTGACCTCCTTAATTCACCGTCTAGTGCAGAAACAAATGGGCAAGCTGCGGTATACTTGTTAGCTCAATGGCTTTGACAATGGCTTTGAGGCGCACCACTACTTCTCGGAGACTTACTTCAAGAGCTCTGGAGAGGCCTTATGGCGACAATGACGCCCCTTTGCTTTTGGCTGGTGTTGTATATTGGGTAATACTTGAGCGAAAATGACGGACCAAAAGCACTGCGTCAATTCGACAGGAACGCATTGACTTCGGCATTTGAATTGGTTGACAAGACCGTCACTTGTCTGTAGGTAGTTTCTTCCAAGCGCTCTACACCCGATGAAGGCCAAAGGCTCGGTTGACCGTTGCAACAGTCAAACCGAATTGCGAAGGAAAACAAAACACATCGAAGACTGTGACTATTTTTGTATGACCGCTTTGGTCAGTCACTTGTAACTTGACTGTCAAGTTCCTTCTTATAGGAGGGCATAAATAGCCAGCAGTCCCAAAAAGCAAGACGAGAACCAATGACGACCTCTACCTGCCATAGCGCTCTAGTCTGCACGACTAATACTTGCCTCTGGGCTTGAGCGTTTGAGGTTCCGGAGGTGCTGAAGACGTGCGGTCCGGAATGTATCTTTACATCGTCATCGGCCTTCGTTGTTTCGAGTAGAAGTCTCAAAGGACGACGAGGGAAGAAAGGGGCAGCAGGTTGTCGCTCAACGACGGCATGGAATGGATGGCTGTGGTGTGTATAGAGACATGCGTCGGCGGTTGAAGAGAGATCCTGGTACTTGCACAAATCATCACCCAACATTCAACTAGGTAGTTTTACAGTCAAAAAGCGTCGCCAATGTTTGCAAGAAATAAATGCCGCTACGTAAAGTGGGCAACTCTTTGGCACCGTCATCGTGGTGTAATAACCCTGTTGATATCGCCAGCTCCATGTGGAGGTATACACAGGGAAGCAAACATGTACTATGTTTATCACGGCAGGACAGCACGCAGCCTGTGAGCACAAGTGATTGGTGCTGGCTTCATTGGTGTTCGTTTTCGTATCGCTCGCTGGCTGGAGTACTGCACCATCAAGTGAGAGACTTTTTGGCGCCTTTGTCTCCCAATTCAAACAAAACCTTGCTGGTATCCCCCGCATACTATTCCGCAGACAGCTTTGTGAATATTACACAGACGGAGATTGCGGATGTGAGTTGTGAGTTATGAGCAGTGCTAATAGTTAGGAACCCAAGAACATCGTAACGTCACCTTTTCGATTAGTGATGTGAAGAGAAACACTTCTTTACTTCCTTTCTCATTCTTTGCTCTCATCTAAAGATGGGAATGGCTGCTGGTCTTTTTGTGCGGCTGGCCACGACTCCGGGTACCCAGGTTACCATCGTGAACCCTCCGACTTCCTGATTTGGGTGTGGGGATGGGAAACTGGCGAATAGGACCCGTCTTGTCTTGGCCATCGGTTCTACCTATCAGGCCTCTCTGGCCCAATTCACAGCTGAAGATTCGCGGACTTGAGTATTGACGAGAAGGATATTGGTCATACACTATGACTAGGTCTACAAACAGATATCTACCCCCACTCCTCCACAATGTTGAAGTTCATCACCTTGGCGCCTGTCATATGGCAAAGTCTTGACCACCAGCAAACGAACCAGGCCATACGTGGCACACATTAGGCGCCCCCGTTCATTTGCTGGCTTCATTACGTTGACCACGTAGTCGACTGTCACTCGCCGCCAACATGCAGCAGCAAGTCACACTTTTTGCCATAGACAACACAAGCCCATCGGCGGCAGTTTTCACCATTGCAAGCTAGCGGGGTTGGGTATAGCAAAGAAGCTGGAGTTAGCAGTCCATATTACCTTGAGCAGCATCAACATCACGCAACAGGCTGTTGATGACATCCACAAGCCGACGCGCAGAGGCGAGACGCTGTCCTTCCTCGGGAAAGAGACAACAGAACGCATTATCAGATTGCTACCTATTCAACAAAATCGCTGCAGAGCCGTACGGCAATGTTAGGGAACGTAAAAACTAGTTGAATGACCCGAAAACCATCAACCAAAGCGAAAACCATGTACTGAACAGACGGCCTGTCTAGTGCTTTTCTCCGCTCGATGCCGCTTGTATACTCACTCGTGTCGTGATCTATACGACATCTATGCTTCTTCACCACCCGTCTGCTTAACAGCGACAGGCTCAACTTCGTCTTTCTTCTCTTCAATGGTGGCTTCGACCACCGGCTCACCAGCCATGTTGGCGGCCAGGGTCTTCACCTCCTCTTTCGGCGCCTCGGCCTCGATCTTCTCCTCGGCCGGAGTCTCTTCCTTGGCTTCAGCCTTGTCTTCCTCGATAGGTTTCTGCGACGGCGTTTCCTCCTTGGCTGTAACCTCCTCGATCTTGGTGTTTTCAGTCGCAACTGGTTCGGCCTCCTTAGGTTCTGAGGGAGCAACTTCAGCCTCTGGTGTCGCCTTCGCGTCCTCCGGCTTGGCGTCATTATCAACCTCGAGCACACCGCTGTCACCGATGCTCCAGCATATCCTCAGAGGGGAGAACGACAGAGTAGGTCCCGAAGATTTGGCCTCCGCGACAGGCGTTGCGGCCTTGGCGGGAGCTCTGCGTTGAGGGCCACGAGCACGACCTTTCCTAGCATCGGAGAGGGGCGCCTTCTCCTTCTCTTCAACCATATCTGCCGCGGGCGGCTCCTCCTTCTTAGGGGCCTGAGGGCCAAGCTGAAGACGCTTGTTGAGGTCGGACATGAAGGTAGACTGGAGAGCTGCAATCTTGCCGCCGACGGGTCTAGCGGGGACAGCAGGCTTCTGCTTAGGAGCCGCATCTTGCTCCTTGGAGTCGGTGCCGGACGGTAGGGTTTTGGTAGGACGAGCCGGGATTGTAGGCTTGGGCTTTTCAGAAATCGGCGGGGTTTGTTTCGACTTGGGTCGCTCCGGAATAGCCGGTCGTTCTGAAGTGGCGCTGGACTCTGAGCCCTTCTTCTGGGGACGAGATGGGATCTGAGGCTTTTCGGTAGGGGCATCCTCAGCGGGCTCGGGGGTGTCGACGACTGCCTCGTGCATCAAACTTTCAGGAGTATCTTCCCAGACGTCACGGCTGGGAAATCGGTTGGCCATGGCTGGGCGAGCGTCTTGCTCCTTGGTTTGCTGTAGAGGCAGAGGAACTGGTTTCTTGTCTCTGGTATCCAGACCTCGAGCTTCCTGTTCGGCAAGCTCTTCCTGTTTCCTTGCAAAAGCGTGTGCGGGGGTTTCGGTGCGAGGTTCAGACCTTCGTCGAGAGGAGGGACGTTCAGTCTCTGCTGGCTCAGGCGTTGACACTTCGGCGGTGTAGTTCACGCTGTCGGGTGCGTCTTCCCAAACATCCTTGCTGGGGAACTTGTGGCGGGGCTTCCATGAGTTGGCCTCTGCCTCCGCTTTCTTAGCTTCCTCGTCGGGGAACAGCGGCTCATACTCTTCAACGTCTTCCAGGGGAGTGGAAGCCAGCTCCGTCTGTGACTGGTTGTTGTAGATGCTAGTGGGGCGGCTGGTGGGCCGGCTCGTCGCCTTTTCCATCTCGAAGGCGCTGCCGGAGCGCTCTGGTGGGGGCTCAACCGCTGGCTGCAGGTCGTACGGGTGGTAGACGTCCTTCTCCCGTTCATCGTCTGCCAGGATTGGGGCGTTGTACTTGCTCTCCTGGTCAGGGTCTTGGGAAATGAAACTCTTACGGCGGTTGTGAGATTCGTCAACGTGGACAGTGCTGTCATCAGCGTTGTCCGCGGAGGAAACGGCAATATCGGGGTGAGAGTCCTTAAGAGGGCTCAACGGGGACTTGATGCGCTGGAGCTCTGGAGACCTCGAGGCGGGGCGGGGCGAGGACATGCGAGAGGTGTACTCCTCAGACGCATGGTAGCCGACCTCCTCGCTGGGAGTGCCAGCATATTCTGCATGAGTGCCTGCATTTGTTAGTATGTGCCTATCAGACGTTCAATTGGCAGTGCTCACCCATTCCAGACCCACGGCTGTGCGTGTCATGAACGATCTTGTTGAGATCTGAGCTGCTCATGGCAAAGTCATTCTGGCGGTCGTGGAGTTTTGTCGAGCAGTCCTTCTTCAGGGTATCAGGGTGCTTGTCGTACCAGGCCTTCTCGAACTTGTCGGTAGGGAGCGCAGAGCTGTGTCCATGAAGGCCGTAGCTGCCCGGCGGCAGCTCGTTGACGCCACGCGAGCTGTGCTTGCGAGAGTGGTGACGAGGGGTTCCGGACCTCAAAGACTCGGGTGCAGCAGCAGAGCCCGGCGCGGGAGACGGAGCCTGAACATCACCAAGGTGGGGGTTCATGGGCACACGCTGGCCAATTTCGGGAATACCATGTTCCTCGTCGCCGAAGACACTTTCCGACTTCTGGGACATTTGACTTGAGCTGGCCTTCTTTCGGAGACTGCTAGGACGGGTCTCGTCACTGCTAGGCTTGCCGATGCCGAAGGAAGCAGCCTTGTCCGAATCCGTACGAGTCACAGCCTGAACCCGCTGCTTCGCGCTCTGGGCCGACATGGTTGGCTTCGGGGCGTGAAGCTTCAGGTCCTCGGCAGCAAAGCGGGTGTGTTCTGGAGAGGCAGGTGCCTTGGCAAGGCCCTCGTTGACGACATCGTATTCGTTGCCCTCCTCGCCAACAGACGGCATAGAAACGCTGGCCGGGCGGTGGACAGGTTCTGAGGAAAGGAACCCATTGCTCGGGGAGGAGCGAGTGGCCTTGGGACTCTTAGAGAACGGGCTCTCGTTCAAAGGCGAAGGCGCAAAGCGATCGGGGTTCGGGGAGATGGAGCGATCGAAACGCTTGATGGGACGAGGAGGAATCTTGGGCAGGGAGGAAGTATTCGTGTTCTCCTCCTTTTCCGTACTCCTAGAGGGTCGGGGAGGGATGATAGGTTGTTGTACTGAAGCGGCAGACATGATGTCTATGTGTAAAAAGGTAGATTGGGTGGCTGAATACGAGACAGAGCGGCTGCTGGCTTTCTGATATTCGAAGCTGGTACGGTGGGGATATAGCAGAGGTACTTTGCCCTAGACACGACCTTGAGAACCTAGAGAATACGAACGACTGTAATTAGTACACGATTCTGGGATTCTGGCGGTGTAAGACGTCAAAGCGAGTCGATCACAGGCCCCGGCCCGGTTCGGTGTGTCCGTCTATCTCGACGCCGCCCTGGAATCTTGGTTGGGTGACAGGGTGGTGGTAGCTGAATGCAAGATAACAGGCGCGGTAGAGATAGGGCGTGGTAAATTGACAAGCAAGACAGGGGCGGGAACGCGTGCACCACGAGGTGACGTTTGAAAACGCGGATGCGCTGAGAACAGCAATTTGAGTTTTCTTAGCTCAATTGTGTTGATAAGTGCTTTTGTGTGATAAGACTGTGTCGTACCACTGTAAAGTACAGGTATGAGGCTTGTAGCAAATGCATCGCCTTGCCCTTCCCAATCTTACGGCTGGTGGGTGGTGATAGCTGAGTCCGGCTGAGAACCAGGTGGGCCTGATTTCCCCAACAGCTGGGCAGCGCCCAGCCGGTTCGTGGTGGTGGTGGTGTGCTGACAATGTGTGGCAGAGCATTGGACGGCCGCTAGGGTGGAAGGGGGAGGGAAGACGCAGACGGATCGACGGAGCAGCAGCAGACGGGGAGAGAGGAGATTCCAGGGCGGGGAGACGGAAAACACAACGAGAGGGAGGGAATGACGACTGCGCGCTGGGGAAGGGCCACTTACAGCTTTGGGGTAAGGTAAGGTGAGAGTGAGAGAGATAAGGATAAGGATTTTAAGAAGAGCTGTTGAGTTGGTGGTTTGGTGGTGTTATTGTAACACACTGGGTGAGACGAGTAACAGGAGAATGTTCATAGAACGGACTTGATGACTGAGTAGAAGCATTGAACAAATTTGACATTTCAAATCCCAAGGGGGGCGGGCTGGAAGAGAAAGTCACGACGGCGTTGACCTTTATATTCTGCGTCGACGAAACCAGCTTCTTCGGTGACGGTGCTGCTGCCGCCAGGGAGCCAGTCACGAGCGACGTATTCCTGGGACAAAAACAGGGATGCTCGATGCCGGTACAGCGGGTGTAGAGGTGTGTACATCCGTCCAGTCTCTTCTCTGTCCTGGCGGCGGGAAAGGCACCAGAGAAGCACCGGCGCTGGAAGTTGCTGCGTGTGTGTGTGTGTGTGTGTGTGTGTGTGTGTGTGTGTGTTCCATTGCTGCAGGACGACGACACTGGACCGACGAAAGAGGCGGTGGTGGTCATACAGTAAGTCCCTCTCCAAGTCGTACGGTGCCGAGTGATCTGTCTTGGGGGAGCCCACCGTACCCCGCCATTCAGCCCACTAGTGCATCATACGGCACACGCTGGAGGAAGGAAAGGTACGCAGCCAACCGGGGAGGTACCTGCCCTGCCGACTCTTTGCAACTGGAAACCGCACCTCCTGCATTGGACGTCGCCGTACTTTCCTCCATCACGAACGTACCTTTTGTTGGTATCTTGGGGTGTCAGGGGAAGCCCTTCCTTTCAATGATACGGGAACCATCTATTATGGACCGCCGCCGGACCAGACAAAGCAGCTGCTCCAACTATCTGCCCTAGCTGCTGCTGATGTGAGGAGGTGAGTTGTTCACATCATGCTGTTGCCGTGGGATTGAGACGACAGCAGCAGGTATTTACCTTCCTGGCCGCAGTCAGATTTATTCAAGCTGTCTGTATTGGGGTTGTTGGGACTCCGGGCCAAGGAGCGGGATGTCTAAAGACCATCATCCCACCTCCATCGATCGATCGAAATTCGACGACTAATTGCCAAACCCAGAGACTATATTGGGCGGGACCAAGAATGGAAGCGAGCGAAGCCAGCCAGCAAGCAACGGGCCTCGAATTCGACTCGACAGAACAACAACCGCTCAGTGCTGCCGGCCGCCCGTCCGTCCGCTTTCAGGGATCCCAAGGCAGAATCTTGAAATAGCAGCAAGCACCGGGGAACAGAACGGAAGAATGCAAATCTAAAATGTCTACAGTGGATTCCTCGGCCATCAGCTGTCAGCGGACAGCGGGCATACACCAGGTCAAACGTGCTCGGCGTCCCATTTGCGTGCTCGCGTCAGCGTCGAAATCTAGAATCCAAAACGAAACCCATCCCGAGTCACCTGTGTCAAGGAACCGGTGTTGGCGCACCGGGGGGCCCTTGGGCCTTTCACAGTGTTCCATTCTTCCTTTGCGTCTAACACCGAACTCGACTTGGCATCTTCACGACAGATCCTTCTGCTTTTCCCTCGTTTGAGCTCGAGCTGCTGCTTGCTTCATTCTCTGCCTGTCTACGCCGTATCTTATCTTTCTGGCCGGGCCGTCTTATCGACTCTTCCGTCTTCATGGCCCCAGCAAGACAAGCCAGTTCCAGCCAGAGCACTTCTTTGATTCGGCATGGCAGGGTGGCCATTGTCATTGCCCACCGCGGGTCCTCTCTGTCTCTCGCCGGCCCCGTCCACAGTGGAGAGGCCGGCCAGGCCACAGTGGACGGCAGCTCCACAGGGCGTCGTCTGGTTCAAGGTCGAGCCCGTCCGCGTCCCAATGGAAACTGTCCACTGAGAAAAGTTCGAAAAGTCACCCGCTGACCATAACCACCTCACCCCAGGCCACCGGGCTCAGGCGGGCCAGACCAGGGCAACAGGGCCTGCCTTAGCCAGAGTACAGCGGTACCGCGACAGGTACAGCCTCAAGTACCTTTCCAGGAACCGGATGGGCGAACCGGGAAGGGTACAACCGGTACAATCCTCTGTCAGTCTCGACAGCACCGCCGCAGAGTCTTTCGCATCTCTGTCAGGACACCCACAGTGCGCCTCGCCTCTTGACTTTTTTTTGACGACACCTCTCCCACCAGCCCCACAGGACCACGAGATGTTGCAAGCTCTGCATTGAAAGCACCGGCTTGCAGCTGGCCAGGCGACGGTGTCTCGTCCGTTTGGATCTCGATACCACAGCGTCCTACACCAAGCATGCACGCAAGAGGGAGAGCCGTTTTACACACCCCTGCTGCTTTGCAACCACAACCTGCCATTGGAACAAGTTCATGATCGTGGCCACGACCCTTCCCACGTTCAGACATGTACTGCTTCTGTACTCGTTCTTCACCGCCAACAACCAGAGACAACAGATCCATTTAATTGAATTTTCCCGTCCCCCGGGCTGCAACTGCGGGCGCCGTTGACGCCGGTCCCTCAATTGGTTCCGAAATTGTCTGAATGACACTGCCTCCCGGGCTTCCATCTCTGGCAACTCGGAAGCCCTTGTTGACGGGCGCCGGATCGCTTGCGGGCAGTTTGGAGGCATTTTTCAAAGAGAGGCATTTTTCGACAACTAATTTCAAGTTTGCGAATGCCTTGCTCACATAGGCAACCTCCCACCTGGCTGTCATTGCGGCGGTCTTTTCCAATGTCCAAATGACAGTCATCAACCCCGGGATTCGTCCTCGATCACTTTCGGACGGCTGCCTGTCGCGGTCTTGGCTCCCTCCCACCGTCTACGGCCAGACCGCCGTCCCCTCCTGCAGCCCACCCAACTTCCGTCACAGCTGCTGTTACTAACAACGTGCAAGCTCCGTCCAGTCGCCTCCCCCCTCCACAGACCGTCAACTGGAGACGGGAGAAGCAGCCTCAGCCCCATTCTTTGACGATCGATCTGCGGCCGTCTGTGAATTTGGCCCAGTAGGTGCTATGCTTTCAGATGAGGTGAGGCGTCCGAGCAACAAAGCGGGCTCAAAAGCTGAGTTCCCATCAGAATTGGTCTCGCCCTATAGCCTTCGACTTAATGGTATACTTCAGCATTGAATACACCGCGAAACCGTGTGGAAATGCAATGCTAGACATCTCGCCAGGCCATAGTTGTTTTTCTTTCCATAATCCTTCAGGACCCCTGTTGGGGTGGAAATGGGGAGGGTATCGTCACCGTCCGCAGGAGGCGAGTGGAGCAGGACCAGAACCTCCGTTTAGCTTCTACGGGCCCTCCCACAGTGTGCTGGACGGTTGGCTCTAGTGTAGCTTCTCTGCCGTTCTTGCACACACTCGGCGCCATGGCCAATGACGCCATGGCTCTCGATCACTCACCGGACCAACCTCACACAATTCGAGGAAAAAGGCATTGCACCCACTGGCAGATTCGGCAGAGTGCATCTCATTGTTAATTTCCGTTTGTCATGATGCCTCTTCCCTTCTTCCCTTTGTGCCACACACGTCTCTGACATATCTCATCATCATACGTCGATTCCGGCCCCCAAAGCCCCCAAGTGGATAGCTATATGTATGCGAATCGACATTTGCAAACTATCCGTCAAAGGTTACAGATCCTCCCACGGAACCTACGTGAGGTTTACGTCAACATCATCGGGTTTCACTAGCTTCGGAGAACATATCTTTTGGTTACCTTTGGGGGTACGTGATATGCTTGCTATCCGTCGACGGGTGCCCGCGGGAACCTGAGGGGTTGGTTTAATTTCCCCTCACAAGAATCGCCTATCCCGCCTGTCGGAGCGAGCAGACCAGACAGACGACACGCGTATTTCAGCTGTGGTTGACGGCTAGAGCCCATCACGAGACTGGCCGAGGGGTCTGCTCGCCTTTCGTGTCATCACGTTGGCATGCTAGCCTACAAGGGCTCGGGAACCATCTGCCTAGCTTCTTTCTTCCTACTGATCCCCCGCTGTCTAGTGTCTTTTGCGCGCTTCTCCAACCACCCACTAGAGCTCCAAATCTGATGAAGCTATGCCTACTTGAGGATGCTCTAGGAAGCTGTAGAAGACTCAATGCTGTGGGCTGGGCTGGGCTGGGCTGGGCTGGAGAGCTTCACCTCAGCATCCAGAGTCAACAACAGACCTTACATGTATCCTATTCAAGGTGTCAATAGCCACTCACGAGACACAAAACTGCATCGGCACATTCCAAGTGCCTGAATTTGGGTCATTGACTGGCTGAGAATCATATGCGTCGTTCGAGATTCGCGGTGCGGCCAGCAAAATGTTTCAAGACAATAAATTCAGTGCAGTGAGAAAGCTATCATGACCCTCGGAGCTTCTAGGAACCAAAGCGCAGCCGAGTCCGAACATACACACACAAAGCCTGAGCTCATTCCGGGACGCCGAGTTTCCATTCCGACCATGCCGGCCGTTGCATATCAAAAAAACGCATTCCACTTCTTCCGTCTGCTGCTTCCTCAGGCGACCTACGCGGCGCAAATGCGACTGGCCGCTGCTAGCCCCTATAATCCTGTACACTCATCGATTCGTACAACTCCTTTTTGGCGTGCTTCCAGGCACCGGATATCATTGTTGTCGTTGCTGCTGCTGCTGCCGCCGCCGCCGCCGCCCATTGCGTCGATTCGGCGTGGGATTCTCTCCGCGCTGGCGTCCGTCGGTACCGGTTCGGAGAGCATCGTACGTCGCCTTACACAATCATTTGCGCGACACCCTGACCACCAAGAGTTTTGCTGCCGACGAAAGCCTGGCCCTTGACGCCGGCAAGGAGGTAGCAGATGGCGGTAAGGGACAGGAAGACACCGGCGGCGACCAAGCTGGTGGTGTTGATGATGGTGCTGAGGAACTGGATGACGGCCATGACGGCGTAGGCGCCGGCGCGCATGTAGTTGGTCGAGATCTTGCGGATGAGGCCATCGAACGTGGACGAGGTAGGGCAAATTCGGAGAAGCAGGGGAATCTCAATGAAGAGGATGACCAACGAGGAAGCGCTAGGGAAAAGCTTGTCAGCGGAGCTCCGGATGCAGGATTGAAGGGGGAGCTTACATGGCGAAGGCACAGAAGATGATGATCAGAAGGTGGATCGTGAAGATGTTGGCAATGCCAAGTGCTAAGCATAGGATCATGGACAGGACACCCAGCCTAGATTGGTCGAGTCAGTTCTGTTTCCAAAGAAGCTTGACGAAGCTCAAACGGCGCACGTCGATGCAGCGAGCAATCGCAAAGAGGTGCCGCGGATTGCACGCAATGGCATCATCTGTTCTGCTCGGGGTTTGGGCAGTCGACGACAGCGCGGCGCGGCGCGGGTATGAGGGAGGGCCGGCAGGGAGCTCTTACCATTGTCCGTAAATGCCTGCGATGGTAGTTAGCAACTGGACAGCTTGCGGCAGACGGCGAGCGGAAACACGTACTGAAGTTGCGGGTCGCGAACTCCTCCTTGAGCGTCATCTTGTCTGATGGATTTGGTCGGGTTCGTTGTGTAGGTGATTTCTCGATCGGAGAACGTGGGCTGTCGGAGCTATGTGCAGTGGAGATGGTCCGAATTCCAGCTCACGAAGGAAGTGTTGACGGGACGGAGATCGACAAGCTTGCGACGGGGGTCCGTGTTCGTCAGGTGAAGGTTGATGAAGGTATTGCGGTTTTGATGAGTTGCTGTAGTTCAATGCAGGAGCTCGAGGATCGTGGCGTTGATGGGGGCTGGGTATCGCAGGACAGAAGCTTTCAGCCGAAATCAGAGAGGTGAGGGTGTTGTTGTCAGCTATTTTGGGGAAAGGCGACAAGACGAGAGAGTCGTCGTACGTAGCCTCTTTTCCGAATTTGAGGCTTGGAACTGGGGGGTGGGTTTGGGTTTGGACCAGTCAGAAGGCTCGCCTGAGAAGGTACTCTGCTGCTGCTGCGCCGGGCGGCGGCAGGACAGACACACGCTGTCCAGGATCTTGGAAGGGGTGCAGGTGCAAGTGGCTCCACCCGACCGTCTTGCTCGTTTTCCTGAGGTGGCCCGGCAGCCGAAGGGTCCAGTGTCCGCCAGAGTAGGTACTACCCACCTAAGGTACGGATAGCAGGTGCTCGCTGTAGCTGCGGTGAAGCTTGACGTAAGCTGCAGCGCCCGAGTGGTGAATGTGTCCTCCACTGAGTCTGTGTCCCCTAAGTTCCCCCCGTATTATTGTTGTCTTGTCCCTGCTGCAACTGGGACGACGACGGCGACTCAACTGAAAACCAAGGGTCAGGGCAGTCTTGTGATTGGTGGCTTGCTCTCTCTCCCTTGGTTGAAGAAATTCGGGGAGGGGCGATCAGGTCCAGCAGGGGCCTTTTTGCTATCTGTTTCTGACCGTCCTTGAAGTACCGTACCTCACCTTCAGCTACCTAAGGAAGGTTCCACGCCTGTTTACTATGCAGTAAAGCGTCGAAATGCCGCCTCCCTGAGAGCGAGAAATGCGGCCCAGGTTGTTGTGTCTCCCTTTGCTCTTCTTGTTTGGGTTGTGCCCTGTGCTTGTCGTCGCTTCTCGAACGCAAGACACCTCACCTTCTTCTCAACGCTCGGGATAGGCACGGGAGTAGGTAATAACTGGACCGGGACTCAATATCCTGCTTGCTTAGTACGGGGACAGGTATTCGTTCCGTACCTGACTTTGGGTAGGTAAAGTAGCTGCTCAGCCCGATCCCCTGGACGTTTCGCCAGGCTTTGACCCTTGAACCGGGGCGAAGATGGGATGTGTGAGAGGTTTATGAAACAACGTCCTGACACTTTCCGGGCCCGGGCCAAGCACGGTCGATCCTGTATCGTCTTTCTCCTACTTGTTCGCGATTGAGTTGGCTTTGTTTGATTGATTAATATAGCCGCGTCGCGGGACTACTTAGCGAATGGTTGCGCCTTGAGATGCGGTGGGTTTTTTTCTTTTCGATCCTGAGTAATCTCTGCCAAGGATACAGAGAACACGATAACGTCTTTGAAGAGAGGCCGAGCACTGGTGCTTTTGAAACCCAAGGAGCAGCACGACAAAAGGTGTTGAACTGACTTTCTTTGCGATTCATTGCCATCGCCACTCAGCACCGCTGCCTCGACCTTGAGGCTTTTAACACTTGCGACTCTAGGCAGCTGTATTTTGTGTTTTTTTCCATCGTGCGGGTTCAGCGGAGGGGATACACGCGTCCCGGGCTATTACGTGGACTCTGCTCAAAGCCTCTTTTGATGCACAGCCATCCAGGTCTGTCCGCTATCCAGATGCCTGGAATCGGGCAAACTTGCTCCTTCATTCTCGTAGCCTCATCGATGCAGCCTGAAATTTCGGCCTGAATGTATGGCCGACGGTCTGTTCATGACATGCGACCTACGTAGACCCCGCCGCTGCGCTGAGAGACTTCCGGATTCGCGAGGGGCGGGAGCTGGGCCCCGGCCGGTTTGCCCCTCCCGCGTCCGGGGGGTGCCACGGTGTCGGGTCCGTAAAGCAAGCCAAGCAAGCTCCGTGATATCGGCCCAAAGATCCGCTCGTAGGCAATGTCTTGTCTGTTCCTTCTCTTACATTAACCAGCCATTTTCTGCGCCACAGCCGGACTAAACAGAAACGCGTGAAAGTCCACGGGATCCGGAGATAGCGGCCCCTTTGCAGCGGCGCAAGTGGAGATCAACGGGTCGCCAGTCAGCACCAACTGATCGGAACCAGATCTGCGGGTGTAAGTAGGGCTTGCTTCACCCGCCATTACATCATAACGCCGGACTCGTGCATCGCGAACTCTCGCGCCTGCCATTCAACCGCGGATGGGCCGGTAGACTGATGTGACTTACGGTAGTGATAGTCAAGTAGAATGCCAAGAAACTCCTTTCCAAATCCCGTATATACCATAACATTAGACCCGGCCGCCGGCCGCAAAGGTTTAACCCCGAGTCAGAAGAAAGGGAATAACCCCGCTCTAGACCACAACACTCACCCACACCGAGTTCGTCAAACTCAGTTGATAACCCCTCCTCTGCGCCCAATATCATAACCGAGTCAACTGAGTTTCAAGGTTTGATATCGACAGCAGCAAGTCGCCTTGACGAAACCCGCGCCATGGTGTTGACGGTCCTCACCGACGACCAGATCAAGGCGATCCTGGCCGACCTCACGGCCGACGAGTTCGAATCCTTTAGACAAGTAATCTCACACGCCCTCCACGAGTACTCAACCAACGCGACAAACATCGAAGATGGCACCTACCACCAGCCGGACCGTCTCTCGACCGAGAACCTCAAAACCGGCGCCACCACGCTGTACATGCCCTCCGTAGGGCCCCAAGGCATGGGCTGCAAAGTCGTCACCCTCTCCTCCGCCAAAGCCGCCGCGGACCCGGCAAAGCCAGCCATCACCCCAACCGGCGCCGTGACTCTCCTCTCGCCCGAGGGCCAGCCCGTCGGCTTCCTCCACGCAAAGACGCTCACGGCCTTCCGCACCGCCCTGTCCTCAACCTGTCTGCTCGCGCGCCGCGGACAGGTGAAGACGGTGACGTGCTTCGGCGTCGGGCTGCAGGCCTACTGGCACGTCCGGCTGGCCCTGCTCATCAGGGGCGCGACCATCAAGCACGTCAACATCATCAACCGCCGCTTCTCGGACCAGGCGCGCGTGTTCCTCAAGCAGTTCTATCACGTGCCGGCGCACATCAAAGACCGCGAGGGGTGGGCGGAGACGACGTTCAGCATCCTCACGCCCGGGTATGGGGAGTTTGCGCGGCTGCAGAGGGACCAGATCAGGGAGGCGGATGTGGTGTACTGCTGTACGCCGTCCACGGAGGATCTCTTCGAGGCGGAGGTGCTGACGAGCCATGAGGGGAGGCGGAAGGGCAGGTTGATTGCGGCCATTGGGAGCTACACGCCGCAGATGAGGGAGTTGCCGGTCGGGCTGTTGCAGATGGCCACGAAGCATGAGAAGGCGCATTGGCATTTTCACAAGCATGCTCCTGAAGGGGGTGTCATTGTGGTTGACACGTTAGACGGGGCGCTCAAGGAGGCCGGCGAGGTTATTGCCGCCGGTTTGCAGCCGACGCAACTTGTAGAGTGAGTTCACTCGGATGTTGATTGAGAGGAGAGAAATTGCTGACGTGGGCTTACAGATTGGGTGAGCTGATTATGCTCCGGCGCATGCGGGAAGAGGCAGACGATGCCGAGGTGGAGAGCGAGACGGCGAGCATTGCCCCCTCGGAACTGGACAAGCTCGACTTCTCCGGTACGCCGTCCATCAAGTCTGCTTTTACGAGCTCCGATGGCGATTCGCGTTCATCTCTGAGCAAAGAATCGACGACAAGCAGCAAGGGACCTCACTTCCTCCACCGCCGAAGCTCGAGTCAGAGGTCAACGGAGAAACACAAGAAAGAGGACGCGTTGGCGCGCTGGTTGAGGGATGGAACGGTCATTTACAAGAGCGTGGGCTTGGGGCTTATGGATTTGGCGGTGGGCATGCATTTGGTTGAACTGGCCAAGGAAAAGGGTATTGGAACACAAGTCGACGGATTCTAGAATGTTTTAATGAAGATGGCGCTGGTAAGTTTTGGAGGATATCCCACGGATTTGAAATACGACCAGAAACTTGATTGTCCTATACGCGCTCAAATCTCAGCATCAACTGCTCTGCTATCGGGCGTGCGGTGTATGTGTCATCCTGTTCGATGTCTGTGTCATCGACGATGTACGTCGTGAAATTCGACCAAATGGCTGCTGCAATAAGCTTCATTTCTGTAATGCAAGTCAGCAAGCGTGTTATCACCCAACAGGTTTCCTTGACCTCACCATTCATTGCAAAGTTCGACCCGACGCACATCCTTCCTCCACTCCCGAAAGCCCAAAAGTAACGACTCATCTCGCGGCGCTGTTCTTCGTTGGTCTCCGACTCAAGCCAACGAGTGTGATTCCACACTTCAGGTTCCGGGAACACGTTCTCCTTCCGATGAAGGGTGTAGCCAAGAGCAGCGACGCGGACGCCTCCAGGGACATGGAACTCTCCGAGTTGGCAAGACGGTTGAGGCGTTTGTCGTGGCTCGGGACCTGGGATCGGGGCATTCAGACGGAGCGTCTCCATGACCATGGCATTCAGGAGTGGTAGTGCATCGACAGATTTTGGGTCCGGGAGGTTGCCTGGCAGAGATCCATCGGCTGGCATAGTCAGGGGAGGTTCCAAAGTCAGGAGTTCCTGTCTCAACTGCTGCTGCAAATCCGGAGATTTGGACAAATGCCAAGCCAAGTATGTGAGTGCGATGCCGGCCGTCTCTTGGCCCGCCAAAAGCTGGTCAAACAACTCGGATGCCATTGACAGGTCCTTCTTGAGTATGGCTGTTGAGTAGAGCAGAGACTCTTTCCCGTTGACTCGACGTTCCTTCTCGATTCCGGCCTCCATGGCCTGGAAAACGACGGGTTCATCTGCGGGGTCTTGCTTCTCCGCGACTTCTAATCCGTGAGTAGCATTGTACGTCTTCTCGCATAACTTCGTGTTCCACTCCCGCAATTCAGCATTCGCATCATCGACCCAAGCAGGATACGGCTTCAGCACCGGTCCGAACCGACCCAAGAATTCCGTCAACTGCGGCATCTCCTGCGGCCAGAACCCGAAGCTCGCGCGTACGAGATACAGCTGCAGCCAGTGGTCTCTGTAGGACTTGTCTCTGAGGAAATCAGTGCTGTTGCGTAAGCCAAATATGTATGCCGTAATAAAGTCCATTGTCGAAGCGAGGAAGGTCGAAAACACCTCGATGCCCTGAGGCTCAGGACCGGCTGATGATTCAGATAACAGGGGTAGGAGACGACCGAAGAGAAGCTTGCGTGCTTGTGCTTTGGCAGCTGGCGAGGCTTGGATGAAGGATTTTGAGTAGGCATTTGACACCATACGCTTGCGTAGAGAGTGGGCCTTTGACTCCAGGGTTGAGAACATGTTGGGTACTCTTCGCTTCAATGTCAGCGAGTGCCATGCATAAGGAAATTATACAAAGTTTACTCACCCATAGTTGTCGAATATAGAGTACCACTGGTCCTTCTCAAACCCCCCTTGGTAGACTGTTTTGATGGCATCGTACCCGTCGACACTGAGCTCGTTTGGACCAATTCGAACCACGGGGCCATACTGAAGATGCGCTTTATGGAGCGATCTGTTTTGGAAGTTGTTCTTCCTTGCGAGAAGAATCCAGAGAGGTGAGACGTGACATGACCAATGAGGTACCGGTATCTTGGCCAGGGGTGAGAAGAAGATTGGATAGGCGACGAAGTGGTAGACCAGCCAGACCACGACCGCCCCAACGGCGATGGGAATCAAGTTGAATCCCATATTGAAATGCAATACCGCTATGTGAATTATGCCAAGACGACGACTCAGTGATTCACACTCTCGAAGTGACTGGTCAAGTAATCGACAGGGGTTTGTAAGTGGTTGCGGTCATCGACCTGACTGAGCAAGGAGCGGTTTCAAGAATATAAGACACGATGAATCTCTTATTACTAGCGTCGAGCGGAGTGAACGACGGAATCCATGGAATAGAACGTTATCACCTTCTATTAGGGCCGAGTCATGAAGGTGGTGTTGATACTCTTATCTCGCTCGACCTCTCAGGTCTTATCTTGGAGTTGATCTGAGTTGAAGCCGAGGTGCACTAACAGCGGGGTCGGCACCTGCGTCTCAGGGTCACGGGCCATGTTAGTGGCGGGAAAGTCACTGTTTAGAGCAACCAAAATTCCGCGAATAATCGACCAGAGTAGACGAGCTATACCGGAAACTAGAGATGAGAGGCTCGCCAATTACAAACGAATGCACAGTAGTATGAACATCTATCTAGCTTGACGAGGAAAGAAAACGGGGGAAATACGTCTCATGGGAAGGATTTCGCATGTACGTGCACACCGACGAAAACTCGGCATGCATCTAAACGGCATTGTGTCGCTGACGCATAGAAGCAGGCATCCACCAAACAGTCCGTTCTAGGCTGCAACTCATTACTTAGTCAATGGTGACTCTTTCGACTCATCGAAAGCATTGAGACTCAACTTCCACCTTCAAAGGATTGCCCAAGGTTGAAATTTGGAAGGCTTGGCACGGGCTCCGAATGGGTACACTGAACAAGGCGTCTCACAGGTTGCATCACACTTCCCACAGTAGTTAGCAGAGTTTTCAAACCGCTTTCTCACCTTTACCCATTCCAGCCAACACCACACCCACCGCACTCATCACCGTCAGTATCACAGCATTTTCCCACTCACCCAACTCTCATATCATCTACTTTTCATGTTTCTCATATCTTCATCTCACTTCCCCTCATGCCACAAAAACCAACCATCAGACAAATAGAGAGTTCTTAAACATACCTCGCAAGACCCAAAAAGAAACATGTTTGACCAACTCCCAGACGACATCGTCTTTGAGATTGTTTCTCACCTCAGAACAGCCCGCGACATCGCCAGGCTCGCCTCATCCTGTAAACATCTCCACCATCTCCTCTCAGAAGATGGCTGGCGCACCTTCGTCAGGACCTGCTTCCCTCTCCTCTCTCTACCTCTAGGCCAGCAACCAAAATGGAACGAGCTGGCCAACACCCTTACCCGCCAGGCGAGGGCCTGGGACACGAAAGCTTTCCAGTCCATCGCTTATACGGACTCTCATCGCCCAGAGGGCAACTTCTTCACCGGATTCAGCAACGCCGCTCGCCCCTTCCACCCCATCATCGACGCTCGTCTGGCATTCGACAAGAGCTGGGAGGTCGTATCATGGGGCGCCGGCGAGGATATCGTCGGCCGCTTCAGGCCGCTCAACTCCCGCGGAGAGGCTGATGCTTGGTTCCGTATGGAGGGCAAGGCCAACGGATACGAGGCTGGTGTTGGCGACGTTACGGCCATCCATCTCACTGAACCCGACGGGAAGCTGGGCATGCTTGTCGGAAGGGCAAACGGTGATTTGTCTCTCGTCTCAGCCGCGCAGGGTAGTGCAGGTCAGACTCTCTCACACTTCAAGATTCCTAAACCCACTGGCGGCCTGGAGCTCACCACATGGACCTCCATCGGCTCCATTGATACTCTGCCCAACCAGTCATCAGTGGTCGCTGGCAACAGGGCAACTATCAGCTTGTTCCCCCTGAACACAGATAATACGGGGGACGCAGCCCCTCTGGACTCCCTGACCTTCGACATGTCAGGTACCGCCAGAACACAGTTCATCCACGCCGCCAAGGCGATGAACAATGACACCATTGTGTGCGCCCTCTCAGGCTCTTCGGACCCGATCCGCTATCTCACCGTCACCCCTACAGGCTTCACTCCAGAAGGAGCTTCAAAGAATCCCGACCTCCTGCAATCTCGTGGCCTCGACCCAAACAAGAGACTCACCGTCCGCGCCATTCAACCCGTCAATCCTGGCCCCAGCGGTCACACCAACCTCCTCCTGAGCGCCTGGGACGACGGCACCTGCCGCCTCATGGACATCCGCACGCCGTCCCCCTTCGACGCGCTCTACCGCGACATGTACCAGCCGTTTGAGGCCGTCTCGTCGCTCATCACGTACGGCTCAGACCGCTTCGTCGCAGGCAGCGCGGAAATCGAGGCGCTTAAGATCTTCGACTTCCGCTGGACCAAGTCGTACTACCACTCCGCGGCGCTGCCGTGCTGGTCCGGCACCCCGTTTCCCGACCCTCTCAGGGGGACTAGCAGTCGCCCGCTGAGCCTGAACGGGGTCGGATGCAACCACCTCAGGGGAAACCGCTGCGTGTGGCACGAGAACTCGACGAGGGACTACTACCGGCCCAACTACCGCTTCCACGTCATGCCCTTCAAAGGAGCGTCGCGGGCGTCGAGCTCGCGCATCTTCTCCCTCGCCAAGGCGTCTGACGTCTCAGACTCGTTCTACGTCGGGCTGGCGGGTGCCGTGGCGGAGTTTTCTACTGCGTTCAACGGCGAGGCGGATGATGTGGTGCCGTCTGCGGTCGCCACAGCGGCGGAAAAGCGCGGCTGGAAGGCGAGGGAGTCGCAGTTCAGCTTCGCGGAGACGGGCGATGGGCTGCTGCATCCTGGTGTCTCCATGAGCACTTTTATGCCCCGGCTTGTTCAACGCTTTGGGGATGAGATTGACGCACCGCAGTACAGTGGCTGGTATACCAAACAGACACCCAAGACAGCCGCGTGGCACCGCTGGGATAAGAGCTTCTGGCGTCCCACACACTTCACTTTCTGAGATGAAATTGGAACGGAGGGGAAGGACATCGCAACATTGATCGGAATAGGGAAAATTTAGAACATGAGAGCATAGCGTTAGAGTGGCAGTCATGATATGAATAGTTACTGAGTTGCATTTCATGCGTGCCATCCTATATGAACCATAAATACAGTTTGAACTGTGAGGTGATCTTTTCTTCCAAACATCCGCCAGCGTTGGTTACGCCCAAGAGAATACTCATACACATCAACAGCGGCTGCCCCTGCCACTGCTCTGGTCATCTGCTCGGCGCTCCCGCTCAAGCATCTCGTCAAACTCCCTCTGAGCCTTATCCTTCTCAGAAGTTCCAGATTCTCCAGACTGGCCCTGCCGGCTCTGCTGGCCTTGTGAGCCGCTCCAAGTGTTGCCGGAGGGCGGCTGCGGCCGCTGGTTTGCCCGGCGCAGGCGATCCCAAGCAGAGCCGCCGGAAGACGATTCCGGCACAGGTCTCGAGGCCGGAGCCACCGGCGACGCATCATCCCAGCCGTCCGAATCGGAGTTGCCCCAGCCTGACTGCGAGGATGAACTTTGCTGACCCCATCCGCTCTGCGTGACTGGAGTTTCTCGTGGTGTGTCGTACTCTGGGCGAACGTTGTCTTGAGGCTCTTGGTACGCGGTAGAGTCGGATGAGCTGATGGCCGGGTAGCCCTGGGTTGGTGACTGGTCATCGTAGCTCTGAGAACTCTGGTTGTCGCTCTTCCGGGCGATCGCTTCGTCGATTTGCTTCAACGTATCCTCCAAGGTCTTAATTCTGGCGGTCGCATACTCAATTTCTTTGGTGAAGTTTTCCTTGTTCTTGTCGGATTGATTCAGCGTCAATTGATGTTGTCTTGACTCGATTGTACGTTGCAATTCAGTGATAGTCCTGTTAACTTTGAACCGCTGTGACTGAAGGCTCTTAAGGGGCATCTGATCAGCAGTCAGGGATATCAGCCTGTCGGGCTTCATGTCCTTGCGGAAGTTCTCGAGGCGGTCGTCGCGGGCGACCGTGCTGATGGCGACGGAGGTAGCATATGAGCCGAGCAGCGGAGCAGCAAAGATGGCGGAGGTCATGCCATAGGTCACAAAACGAAGGTTGTGCCAGAGAATCTTGGCCGGTGGGCCCTTGACGTAGGGGATATTGCTGCTGGGAAATACTTCCGGGTCGAATTTGATGAACTTCGGTTGATAAAAGGGAAATTTGAAGGTTCCGCGCGATTTCCAGGCGGCGACGCCGCCGAATAGGAAAGCCAATGGCAAGATATAGGACAGTGTGCGGCCTTCTTTGTAAGTGATCTCGCAAAGGGCGTCGACCTCTGTTTGGGTTGGTTGCCTTCCCATGCCCGCGGCCGAGCCATTGAGCATGTACCTTATCTTTTCGACATGCTGCTCAGGTTTCTGGGCCATCAAGCGCTGCCATATTGTGAATTCAGGAGGCGGGATGTGGTACTCGGCCGGAGGCAGGTTTTTGACGAGAGAGTCGAAGATGTCCTTGTCCAGCGAGACGGAGAGGGCCATGCTGCCGGCCGATGGAAGCTCAACGCCAGGGCTTTCTGTCCCGGACGTTGAAAACCAGTGGTCTGTTTGAAGACCGGCAGAAAAGATGTTCTGGTGTGGTGAAAGTCGGGGTTCCAGGGTCTAGTGGTTGTGAGTCGAGCGTGGACTTGCGGCTTGAAAGTCCTGACGTCGTCGTGGAGTGACGGAGCTACTAGAGGTAGAGCTCTGGTGGGTCTGTCTCATTGGCGGGGTGGAGATCCCGGGCGCCCCGGCCATTCGGCAGAGCGTTTCTCCATGTGGGAATTGAGTCGAGGTCAGGTCGGGTCGGGTCTTCTGGAAACCACCAAGAATTTGAGAGGGCGTATACGTGACCTTGCAAGTCGCAATGCCTTTAACAAGCACTTGGACATTTCACTTCAACGCTTACTCTGCGATTTGGTCGTAGTTGATCCCGACTGCACAGTCTCATGAGCATGCGCTCTGTACCTTAGGTACCTATGCAAGGCACCTAAGTAGCCATTGTGCATCGTTGCTCGGGGAAACCAACACCCTGCAGCTCATCTGATGGATACCAATCGCTAGCCAGTGCTTTCCTCCTGCAACACATAGGCAGCAAGGAACAAGACGCGAACAACACGAACACTTGCGGGGAGCAAGTGCGCGGTGACTTGCATTCCTAAATGTGCAGGGGCGATATTATGTACCTAAAGCCCCACAAATTACCGCGAACGTGCAGCGGCGCGTCCCCTGTGCAAAGCCGCCGCGGTCTCGAGAAGACGCGACAGAGCGCGTCGAGGGACAACCACTTTATTCTAGTCTCCCGCTCACCCACCTTAGTCCATCTTCCTCCATGACCCCTGCTTCGACCTGGTTGGAATACCCCAAAGCACTTCCGTGATAGTTTCTTTGGACATTGACCCAATATCGCCGAGATGCCTCTCAAGAAGTCATACTCGGAGCATGTTGGTTCAGGGCCAAAGGTATGTCTTCCCAACTTGAGGTACCCCTCCACCCGTTCCATTTCTGTTGGCTGACCCTGCCTCAGAACCGCTCATGGCAACGCTCGAAAAGCAACCCCATCACTGCTCAAACCACGTCGCGACCTCTCGCCCCCGTATCCGATAAGACCAAGAACAAGCTGAACCAATTCCAATTCCAGTCCGCCGATAAAACACATGACCAAGAAAATGATGCGACCGGCGACCACCTCTCCGTCACTCCGTCAACAAAGTTGAGCTGGCGAGATCTGATGGAGACGAATGTACCCAAGAAAGAGACCCAAACTTCGCCAGGCGAACGAATCCTATGGGACAATGAACGAAACAAAGATGACCGCACCTATGCTGCTGCCCTCTCCCCGATGTTGCAAAGGAAAGGCCGGAAGCGTGCCAGGAGTTCTTCACCGGTGTCGTCCCCTGCCCACGACCAACCCGCAACGCCGGCAGTGAACGTCAAGAAGCTCAGCGAGGCCCTCAAATCGCCGCATGCCGACCCAACCCTGGAGCTTTGGGATCGATTCTCTCTTAGTAGCAACGGCAACGTCACTCCCCTCGGCGTCTCGAACCCCGCCCTGGCTCACCTAATGTTCTCCTCTTCTCCGCGCAACCTCAAGACTGCACCAGCCCCCGCCAGTGGCGATGCTAATCTGCGGAGAGCCATAAGCTGCGGCCTCAATTGGCCAAAGAGGAGAAGAGTAGACCGCGGAGATGCGCCTTCATTAACCAGCACGTTGACACGGGAGACGACAGACAGCTCCAAGAACTCTCTAGTCACGGCGTTGCTGGACACCGTCACCGGGAGCATTCAAGAGGACAGCCCGCCACAAGAGGCGCCTGAGCCGCTGCCCGAGCATGATTTCGAGACACCATCTCCTAAGAAGAGAAAGACGGATACAATGCGAAGGCCGCCATCCTCACCAACGCCGAGACCAACCAGGATTCCGAATCTGCCGCCCCCGGGCAAGAGCTCTAATACGGCTGTAGCAAAGGACCTGGGCTTAGATAAAAAGAACGCTGCTCCAGCTGCCGAGTCCGACTATGGCGACGATGACTTTGACGAGTTCGACGACGACACTTTCTTGGAACTAGAGGCCGGTATGAGTCTTTCCAATCCCCAGCAAGAGCCGACGCAGACTACCCCGGTGCCCCTGCCAGTTCAAGCAGCCAAGCAGGACATCGCCGCGATGGATGACGAGTTTGATGACTTGGATGAAGACATTTTCGAGGCCGCGGAAGGGATCATGGAAACTGCAGAGATACACCTGGCGTCTCAATCTGCAACATCGGCAAAGCCTGCCTCCGCGCCGAGACCCTTACCGGCTCCTTTGGATAACGACCCGGACGACGTCTTTGGAGATGACTTCGGCGGAGACTTCGATTTCGACGCTGCAGAACTCGCTGCGACACAGACCGCTCAGCAATCCCACGCCCCATCCACAACTGCTGTACGTCCCAACCAATGGCTACCCCGGTAGCAAATACTAAGATGAAGGTAGACAAAACCCAAAGCCATTCAGCGATATCTGGTGACCAATGTCCTAGAAAGCGAGTACACAGACGATCGTGATCGGTCCAGAATGGAAAAAGTAGGCTACATTCAGCTGCATTCAGCTGCTGTTGAATTGCAACGTTTGCTAACTTGACTCTAGATCCTGATCGTGCAAAAGGACAACAGCAAGATCATGAGGACAATACATCTCCGGGGAGACTGGTTCGAGACACCAGCACACCCCAAAGCATACGTACACGTCATTGGCGACTTTTCTGCCGATGGGCGATGCATCATTGATGATTCCCAGAACATTCTGGTATTACATCCCGACCAACTGGTCTCCGCAACAGTTGTCGCCGATTCTTTCAGTTGCATGCGGCGGGCAGTCTTGCAAGACCGCGTCAAAGCCACTAGCGAAGCAACTGCTCCTCTTGTCTACGGCACCATGCTTCACGAGATCTTCCAAGAGGCCCTCATGGCGAACAAATGGGATCTCCGGTTTCTCAGCACAATTATCGACAAGGTTATCGAGAAACATGTAGAGGACCTGTACAAGATCAAGGTCAGCAAGAGTATTGCGAGGGAGCACCTGCAGTCCAAGATGACTGAGTTGAGTTGCTGGGCTTCGGCCTTTGTGTCCTCTCAGCCAAAGGCAAGTGATCCGTTCTCAGATGGTTCTTATCGCAGTCGCTAACAGACAGTAGCTCGACGCTGTCGTACAGGATCGCAATGGCAAAAAAGCCAACATGTGTGTCAGCAAGCTGCTTGATGTTGAGGAGCATGTCTGGTCACCCATGTACGGCCTGAAAGGAAACATCGATGCGACTGTCCAAGTCACGATGAAAGACGGCAAAGATCTCAAGACCTTGACCGTACCATTCGAGGTCAAGACGGGCAAGCATGCCAACGCCAACCACATGGCGCAAACAGCTCTGTACAACTTGCTCCTATCAGACCGCTACGATCTAGAAATCGTCTATGGCATCCTTTACTACATGGAGACATCCCAGACGATGCGCATTCCCACCATTCGTCACGAACTACGGCACATGATTATGCAAAGAAACCAGCTAGCATGTCATATTCGAGAACGCAGTGTTCAGCTGCCGCCGATGAAAAGGAGTAAGAACATGTGCGGAAAATGCTACGCCAAGGCTCCGTGCTTCATCTATCACAAGCTTGCAGATGACGGCAATGGAGAAACGAGCGGAATGGATGTGCAGTTTGACGAGGTAGTAAAGCATCTTACACCCAAGCATCAGGATTTCTTTCTCAAATGGGAGAATCTCTTGACGAAGGAGGAGAAGGAGACGCAGAAGCTGAAGAGAGAGTTGTGGACGATGGTCAGTCAAGAGCGAGAGAAGGTGGGGAGATGTTTCTCGGATGTCATCATTGAGGAAGGCTCGTGGTCCGAAGACCAGGGAACTTCAAAGATCAACAGTTTTGACTACACTTTCATCAAGCGATTGCCAAACCCCGGCCATTCTTTCCTGGAGTCTCAGCTGGCCGTAGGTGAGCCCATTGTCGTCTCCGACGAGCAGGGACATTTTGCGCTTGCGCTGGGCTACGTAACCGCTGTCCGCAAGCAGAGAATTAGCGTGGCCGTCGATCGACGGCTGCACAACGCGCGAATCCGTCAGCAAGGCTTTGACGAATCCAACAACCAAGTCTTTGCCAGTATCATGGAGGTTGTCCCTGAAGGCTCAACCCAAGACGACGCCCAGGGAAAGATCCAGCAAGCACCCATCCGCTATCGACTTGACAAAGACGAATTCAGCAACGGCATGGCGGTCGTGCGAAACAACCTCGTACAAACCATGGCGGAAGGTGTTTTCGGCTCTCGAGAAATCCGCCGGCTTGTTGTCGACCTTATTCCGCCGAGATTCAAGACAGCACCCACGCAGTATACTATCGCTGACCAAGAGTCCCTGAATGTGGATCAACGCAAGGCAATCGAAAAAGTCATGAGTGCTCAGGACTATGCGTTGGTGCTCGGCATGCCTGGTACAGGCAAAACAACGACGATTGCTCATATCATCCGAGCCCTCACATCCCAGGGAAAGAGTGTGCTGCTCACCTCGTACACTCATACCGCCGTCGACAACATTCTTCTCAAGCTCAAGGACGACAAGACGCCGGTCCTGCGTCTCGGCGCCCCCGCAAAAGTCCACCCCGATGTGCAGCAGTTTGCGATTCTGGCCGGTCAACCGATGAACTCTTTCGATGAAATCAAGGCAGCATGGCACGACACGCCAATTGTCGCAACAACCTGCCTCGGTATTGGGCATCCGCTCTTCAACGAACGGACATTCGACTACTGCATAGTTGACGAAGCCTCTCAGATCACGCTCCCCATCTGTCTTGGACCGATCCGAATGGCAAAGACTTTCGTCCTTGTTGGAGATCACAATCAGCTTCCGCCTCTCGTCCAAAACGAGGAGGCACGCGAAGGCGGCCTTGATGTCAGCTTGTTCAAGCTTCTATCAGATACACACCCTGACTCGGTGGTCAATCTGGAACACCAGTATCGTATGTGCGAAGACATCATGACCCTCAGCAATACCCTCATTTACAAGGGGCGCTTGCGATGCGGCACTGAGCAGCTACGATTCAAGAAGCTTGACGTGCCAAACATGAGCGCGCTGAAACAGCTTCACTACGACTCATCGACCATACTTCGCCCAGGCACTCCGAAGTCATTTTGCACATCCATGGCGCAAAGCTGCTGCTGGCTTCGTGACTTGCTTGATGGGGAAACCCGTGTGAAGTTTGTCAACACTGATACGCTTCAGCCCCTGACCTGTGAGGAGGCGAAAGGAAATCGAATTGTCAACCCGGCCGAGGCACGCATAGTCACGCAACTAGTTGAGGGTCTGCTCACCGTTGGAGTGCCTGATGGAGAGATCGGAGTCATGACACACTATCGTTCACAACTTTCGTTGCTCAAGCATGGTCTTCGCGCCCATGTCGGCGTGGAAATGCACACTGCAGATCGATTCCAAGGCAGAGATAAGGACGTCGTCATTCTGTCCCTTGTCCGCAGCAACGATAGTTGCAGCATCGGCGACCTGCTGAAGGACTGGCGCCGCATCAACGTGGCCTTCACTCGCGCCAAAACTAAGCTTCTCGTCGTCGGAAGTAAGAGCACATTGAAGGGCAGCGGAAAAGAAGAGATGCTCAGCAAGTTCATTAGCCTGATGGAAGAGAGAGACTGGATTTACGACCTGCCTGCCGATGCTTTGGAGAATCACTTTTTTGACGATACGTCGACACAGCTGACCGCCAGCGGCCTATCGCCTCTGAAGACAAGGAAGAACACGAGTCCAAGGAAGGGCATCAGTCCAAGAAAGATCCCGAAGTTGGGATTAGGTGTCGATAAGGAGAACCGGCGACCGGAGCCCAAGAGGGCAAGAATTGGAGAGAAAGTGCTTATGAAGGATAAAGTCATTCTCAGGGATATTCTGAATGACATGACAAACGGCGGTTATTGAGATATGCATGGATTGGAGTCAACGGCATTGGTATTGGGATCCAATGATAACTTTAGGATTACGAGATGTAAGGCGTTGGGTGTCATTATTGGTGACGCGTAGCATTTCATAGGCTATTGCAGGTATCAGGTATCTCCGCGTAAATCTTTGTCATCGCAGCTTTTTGTCCCCTCTAGTGATACGAGAAATAGAAAGGAGAGACGATTTTTGGGTAAGACGGGGTCCGGTGTACATACCGAGGCCGAGGGAGTTGTCGCATCTTCGGCTCTGCGAAGACCAATCAATCGGCGATGCAGCGCAGGTCTTGGAAACTCTGCCTCAGACGCAACCTGCCGACACAACTCCGGATCTAAGCAACACGTGTCGCACAACTCCCGAATCGCTTTCGTCACTTCTTAGAGATCTTCCTGTTCCTCGACAAAAGAGGTAACCGTCTTGTACTCTTCGGAGTGCCATTTCCGTAGCTGGTCGGGTGGAGTCGGTACCTCGATCGTTTACACGTGACTTTTGCTGACTAACCATCCCGACGTGGACCCGAGAATCCAACTCCAGTCCAACAACCTCCCTCACTTGTGTGAGCAACGACGCAAACTCCGCCCACCGCGCCCGCGAAATCTCCCCTCTCAAACCCCGCCCAACCCATCACCGAAACACGTCAATTGGGACGCTCGCCCCCTCGAGACGCAAACGAAAGACCCCGACGATGCCGGCGATTCGTCCGACCGCGGCCATCCGCGCCGCCCGCGCCATCAAGACCACCGCTCCTTCCACGAGGGCCTTCTCCGTGACCGCCCGCCGTGCCGGTGGCGGCTCCGACTTCGATCCCCCGTCCGGTTGGCTCTGGGGCGTCAAGCCCGGTGAGAAGTACGAGAAGGAGGGCTGGGAGCTCCCCTTCTACACCCTCTTCTGCGGAGGCATCATTGCCACCGGCGTCGTTCTCGCCTTCAAGCCTGATACCTCGTGAGTGCAGCCCGTCCCCCCGCACCCCGAAGAAAGGCGGCAACACCACGGGATACCTACTTCCGGGTTCTCCTTTAGCTGCAAAGCTACGTCGACGGGCTTCGCATACAATCGCCAGCATTGAGGCAATTTCGATGTCGACCGTGGCTAACGTTGATTGAACGATAGGCTCGACACGTGGGCCCTCGAGGAGGCCAGAAGGAGATTAGAAAAGGAGGGCATCCTGCCAGACCCCGAGAAGTGAGGGGCGGATTCATGTAACAACGCGCACAAATTACACATTCGACGAAACCCGAACTTTTTTCTGTTTTGACTTTGGAAGCCAAAAAAGCTCTTGGCCCGGCGAAGGGGAAGAGAACTATAGAAAGGAGAGAAATGGCGTGACGGAAGCAAAGAACCCGAGCCGCGAGGATTGAAGCGGAAAGGGGAAAGACCAACACAGGAGAGAATTTGGCGGAACAATGAAGCTTCGCCTACCGTACAGGCGAAAGTCTCTTGTTTCCGACAAAAAGTGTATATGACCGACCTCGAACTAGTTTCCTTTTTTTATATCTCTACGAAGACTTTCGCGCGCTGCCGAATGCTTAGATTTCATTTATGGTCGTTCATGAGTCGAGTTGATGAGGCGGCAGCCATATCTCTGTCTTCCAATGACGTTAAAGCTCAACGGAGCCTCCACCTACGTTGACTCATTATCGGTGTTGGTCAAACCACTCCGGCGGCGCTGGACTGGCCAAGTATGGGCATTCAACTGCTCTTAGCAGCCGTCAGGCTGTGTTCGATCTCGACAGACTGCCTCACTTTGCCAGGACCTATGTCAAGTGGAACAAATCACCACCGGATGACAAATAACGTTTTGAAGCTTCTCAGGTTCTATTGCACACGCTTTCCTTTTTGGATATCTACAAATCTACAATTCATTGCTGGCCAATGCTTACGCGGGAGCAACATAGCTCCACTCGTGCTCCTCATCACCGTACTGTCTGGCCTCCATCCAGCCCTTCATTCTCAGGGCAATCTCGCCAGACTCCTCGGCCTCAGTCAGGCCGCAGTTGATGGACTTGCCCTTCCAGGCAATGGTGCGGATGGGGCTGACAATGGCAGCGGTTCCAGCACCAAAGGCCTCGATGAGACGTCCCTCGTTGGACGCCTCCTCGAGCTCCTTCATGGTGTACTTGCGCTCAGAAACCATCCAGCCCTCGGGCACGAGCCTCTCGCGGGCAAGAGCAAGAACGGAGTCACGGGTGACACCCTCGAGGATGGTGCCGTCGAGGGGCGCGGTGACGAGCTCCTTCTGGCCGGTCTCCTTGTTCTTGATGGCGGCGAACATGTTCATGGTACCGACCTCGGTGACGTACTCCTCCTCGCCGAAGAGCCACAGGTTCTGCTGGTGACCGCGGCTGGCGGCCTCGAGCTGGGGAACGATGCAGGGAGCGTAGTTGGCGCCGAGCTTCTTGTCGCCGACACCGCCGGGCCAGGCGCGGACGGCGTAGTCGGTGGCCTCAAGAGAAACGGCCTTGAAGCCGGTGGGGTAGTAGGGGCCAACGGGGGAGGCGATGACGTAGAGCAGGGCAGAGCCCGGAGGACCGACGCCGAGGGTCTTTTGGGTACCGATCATCGTCGGGCGCAGGTACAGCGAGTAGCCCCTCTGATCCGGGATGAAGTCCTTCTCGAGGTTGGCGAACTTGGAGATGAGCTCGATCATGGTGGTGGGCTCGAAGGTGGGCAGAGCGATACGGGCGGCAGACTTGTTGAGGCGGGCCATGTTCTTGTCAGGGCGGAAGAGTCTGATCTGACCGCTCTTATCCTTGTAAGCCTTCATGCCCTCGAAACACTCGAAAGCGTAGTGGAAGACGCAGGTCGCGGGGTCGAGAGAGAGGTTCTGGTAGGGGACGATCTTGGGGTCGAGCCATCCCGTTTCTTGGTTCCACTCGATGGTGAGCATGTGGTCTGCGGCGCGCGGTCAGCGATTGCGATCTATCATAAGGCGTCACAGGTGGTCTGACCAGTGAACTTGCGGCCGAAGACGAGCTCCTCCGGCTTGCCCAGCGTTCCCGGGTTCTTGGTCTTCTCAATGGTGAGCTTGGAGGCGTCGATGCCGACGGGCTTGGCCGCGGAAGCGGCCTCGGGCTTGACGCTGTAGAGTCTTGTTGACTTCCATGCCGCAGCTGCTAGTCTGGGGGAAGTCTGTGATAACCTGAGGGCACCGGCGGCGCGGGAGGCGCGCGGGAAAAGTTGTCGCATCATGGCGACGGCTGTTTGTGGGTATACAAGAAAAAAACCAGTAGTTTTTGAGTTTGAACAACCAAAAAGATTGCGCGGGACAAAGCAGTTAAATATACAAAAGAGAGTGACTCTTTCTAGAAAACAAAGCTGGAATATGTCAATTGCGGTCAACGGCGGAACCAATTGACCAATCCAGAGCGTGGTAAAAGCAGAGAGTCGGGCGCAATTTGAAGATAGCGTGGAGGAGGAGGAGTCAGAAGGCCCATCGGAGCGTTATCGGACTTGGGTCTGTTGCAAAGCCGTCGCTTTCCATCGTCAATCATTCAGGGTCCCCGGAGCCGGACCCGTCGCGCTGCAGCTTCAGGTCCAGTGCTGCGACTGCAAGCTTAGGTCAGCCATAAGGTAACTAGGTAGCTATAATTGGCCCCCTAGCCACCCCCTCTGGTGGCTTCATTGGCCCTAAGGAGTTTGGGGGCACCTAAGCTGCGACCAGCAAAAGTGGGCTGCCCCCGGTACAGGCAACCTAAGCTGTCCCGCGTAAAGGCGGTACGGTAGGTACCTACAGGCCAAGGGGAGCTGCCCAACCCAGCTTGCTTGCTTGGCGGGAGGTATTTTGGATGCAGACCACACTGTGACGGCACCAACCCGGAGCTGCAGGGGTGCCTGCCGTAGTACCTACCTACCGTACCTATGTGGGATCATCGCTAAAACATGGATATCTTGCTGATTGCATTTGGGACGCTCTTGCCTATCAGCGACGTGGAAGTCGACGCGGCTGAACATCAGCTTGAGCCAACTTGCCAAATTGCGCAACCACCTGTCTTTGAATTTCGAATCGACGCACAATCGAGCCTCGATTGAATTCCAACGATATAGCCGGAATTGCGACGACAACCCTCGCCCTGCGTCACCGTCCAAGACAAAGAGGCCACCTCCTCCTGCGCGCGCGCGAGAAGTTGACAGCCGGGTCCCAGCTTGGCGCAAACACGCCCAATTCGTACCCTGTCCGTCATGACGATCGAGTCTCCTCGAGCCCTGTCTCCTCCGCCTTGACGACGACCAAGACGAACGATTTCCCAACGAACGAACTCCCAGACACGCCATCATGTTCTCCTCGGCGCTCAAGTCGATATCATCGACAAATATCACTGCGAACTACTCCATCTCTTCCACCCAGACGTCCACCGCCGGCCCCTGGAAGATTTACGACTGCAAGAAGAAGTCGACCGGGAAGCCCTACAGCGTATTCGTCTTCGACAAGAAAGGCCTCGACAGTCATGGCAATAGCTTGGGCCGTTCCGGCGCGTCGGCTTTCAAGCGGGCGACGGAAGAGGTCGTAGAGAGGCTGAAGAAGGAGGCATCAAGCTTGGCTAAGCTGCGCCACCCGAGCATCCTCGAGCTCGTTGAGCCCGTGGAGGAGACGAGGGGTGGCGGGCTGCAATTCGTCACGGAAGCTGTCACGGCTTCGCTGGCGAGCTTGTTGCAAGACAAGGACGACCAGGAGCGAAGTGGTGGGGTAGGCGGTCGGTCGAGTCGATATGTCACGGAAGACTCGGACGGCGTGCGCCGCCGGCGCGAATTGGAGATTGACGAATTGGAAATACAGAAGGGACTGCTCCAGATCAGCAAAGCTCTGGAGTTCCTGCATGAGAATGCGGGCTTAGTCCATGGAAACCTTACTCCAGATGCGATTCTTGTGAATTCCAAGGTTAGTCAACCCCTGCCAGCTCATAGCAAAGGCATTCATCGTACTGATCTCAGCTAACCCGGAACAGTCGGATTGGAAAATCAGCGGTTTGGCCTTCTGCGGCCCTTCCGAGGGGTCAAATAAGCCGACATCATTCCAACCCATCAGCCTCTCGGAGATACTCAACCCGGACCCTCGACTGCCTCGCTTTGTGCAGTTGAACCTCGACTACACTTCTCCTGATTTCGTTCTTGATAACAACTTTACAACTTTTGCCGATATGTTCTCGTTGGGTCTTCTGGCTGTGTCTCTTTATAACTCACCACACAAGTCACCCATCGAAGCCCATGGCAGTCTGTCTACTTATAAGAGGACATTTACCTCCTCATCAACGGTTCCATCTACTTCGAACCAGTTCTTATCATCTCGGCCGTTACCAAAAGAGTTGTCAACTCACGTCCTGCCACGCCTTATCACCCGTCGGCCGGCTCAACGGTTGACAGCCAGGGAATTTCAAGAGAGCGAATACTTCAACAACGTGCTTGTGTCCACAATTCGCTTCCTCGATGCCTTCCCGGCAAAGACACCCAATGAAAAGGCTCAGTTCATGCGCGGTCTCGTCAAGGTTCTGCCGTCCTTCCCAAAGACGGTCATGGAGAAGAAGTTAATGCCAGCACTTCTTGAAGAAATGAAGGACAAGGATCTCATCGCCCTAATTCTTCAGAATGTCTTCACCATCGTCGACTTGCTGCCATCAGCGAGACGAGTATTTGCGGAGAAGGTTCGACCAAGCCTCAAGGACACGTTTGCTCCTCCTCCGAAGAAGGACCAAGCACCGGAGAGAGACCCTACCAAAGACGCCGGTTTGATGGTTGTCCTGGAGCACATGTCAACTATCTGCAACAACTGTAACGGCAAGGAGTTTACGGACGGTAAAGATTTCCGGGTAGAACCTCTCTTAATTATGGACGTCAGCTAACTCCTGTGAAGACATATTACCTGTGGTATACGCAGCAATTGAAGCGCCAACTCCCGCTGTTGTTGACGCTGCTCTGAGAGGACTCCCCTCTATTCTACCAGTCCTTGACTTTAGCACCATCAAGAATGAGCTCTTCCCCGTGATTGCGGCGGTCTTTAGTAAGACCAGCAGTCTTGCCATCAAGGTGCGGGGTTGCCAAGCTTTCGTTGTGCTATGCGGCGGAACACCAGATGGCCAAGATGACGGTCTTGATGCCTTCGGTGCGAAGAAGAAGCCCTCTGCATCATCGAGCATGTTGGACAAATACACCATGCAAGAGAAAATTGTCCCCTTGGTCAAGGCCATCAAGACAAAGGAGCCTGCTGTAATGATGGCGGCTCTGAGCGTCTTGCATGTTGTTGGCGAGGCTGCCGATGCTGACTTCGTAGCAATGGACATTCTCCCCATTTTGTGGCATATGAGTCTTGGGCCTTTGCTTAATCTAAAGCAATTCCAGACCTTCATGGACCTTATTAAGAAGCTATCCAGACGAGTTGAGGATGAGCAAACCAAGAAGCTGCAAGAGCTGTCCGGAACCAACGGCAGCAGCACAGCTGCTCCGAATGACGACTTCCTGGGCTTCGGCGGCGTGAGCGGAACTGGGTTTGATCAATCCAACGGTGGCACAGATGACGACTTCGAGAGTCTAGTCAAAGGCAAAGCAACACGAACATCTACGTCGGAAGCCTTCCCTAGCTGGGACGATGCGCCTGCGCCAGCCAGAGTTACCTCGCCCGTTGGCGGATCCAGATCCGCAACTCCGAATGCTCCGGCGTTCTCATGGTCAACTCCGAGTCCGACCCAAACAAATGCGCCGTCAACCTCGCAATTGGGAGCGTCAAAGCCAGCGCCAGGTTTCCGTACTGTGACGCCTGACTTGGGTGGGTTCCAAGCTATGACTCCGACATCGACTCAGTTCTCAAAGCCTCTGCAACCAACAGCTCAAACACCAGCACAACCACAAACTCAGACAAGTTCTTCAATCAACTGGTCTACAGCGGCCACTGCAACTTCCAACCCATGGTCGTCGTCGTCGGCGGCGTCAACTCCGGGCTTCTCGGCCGGAAATTCCATGTCGCCACCTCCGAGCTCCGCTTTTGGCGGAATTAACTCATCCATGTCCAACTTGTCGCTTGGCGGGCAGAGGCCGGGCTTGTCGCAGTCCTCTTCATTTTCCTTGCCACCACCGCCAGGCAAGAATTCAATGGGCTCATCCGGCTCATCCGGGTTTAGCCTACCACCGCCGCCCAGTCACACGCCGACACAGTCAGGCATGAGTGCATTCAACAAGCCTGCAACTAACACCGGCATGGGCATGATGGGTCAACAGTCGATGAGCACTATGAGCGGTATGAACAGCATGAACACTATGGGGTCGCGGCCTGGAATGAACATGGGCAGTATGGGAATGGCGTCGGGCGGCAACATGAACAGCATGATGAACAACTTGAGCATGAATAGCATGTCTGGCTTCCAGCAGCAGCAGCAACAACAACAGTCGCAGCAGCCAAAGAGCGGATTGGATAAGTACGAAAGTCTCATTTAGCGGGCACTTGAAATAGCGGCAGAATGTGGTCAGTCTGGGCATCCCAGTGTTGTTTACATGATACACACACATTTCCTTCTAGAGTTCCGGTTTCTGGGGCGCCTATTGACTGCGCGGGGTTCCCGAACGGTCTGAGATGAAATGCAATATGATGCAAACTGAATCTTGAGGCTTGACAGTTGCACAGTTGACAGGCAGAGTTGAGCAGATAGTTTCTACTGCGAAATTCACAACGTAGAGATAAGAGACAGTACGACTCATGAAGTCGCAGATGAAGCGATAGCGCCGGAGTGTACAACATTAGTGTTCAGGGCATGTTTGGTGGGCCGACCACCCCGCAAAGTCAAGATTCGATGAGACTTGTGGACTGAGAGCAAGTACTGGCGTAGCACATGACGAAGAAAAAAAAAAGGCGCGTCGGCGATGGTCCGCCAAGGAGGAAGGTAGGGCCAAGACGGTGGGTTTTGAAAATCGAGAGTCCTTTCACCCTCTCTCACTCTCTCTGATTTAGAAACCCGTCAAGTCTGCCGGAAACAGTTTGGGCAACCTTTGGGATCCCGGCAGGCTATTGGAAGGGTGGTTTTGTTATCACTTTGATAGATTACACGGGTGTTTGGGAAGAGAACGGATATGTTTCATGAGGGGGCGAAGTGTCCATGATGCGATGATTTGCGGAGAGTGATTGCTGCGGTCGGCAATGGAGGCCGAGGCGCGTCCGGGTGTGTCGGTCGAGTTGCGCAAATCATCTCGATCTTACACCACACAAGCAGCGTTCCTGCTGTTCAGGCCACTATCATCTCACAAGCTGGACGCATTTATTCCGGACAAAGGAGTGATCACTTCTTGAGACCGTTCAGATTTCCTAATCTTGGGGGCACCTGTTCTTCTTGGGTTTCCCCTCCTCATTATTGTTTTCTCAAATGGCGTTTGGCTCGTCGGGTTGGTTAGCGTTTTTGGTAACGCACGCAACCAGCCGGGATGTGGCCCGTCACATGCAGGATCAGAAAGAGGCATAAAGTTGGCTTGAGGGCGAGTTTGGCGCAGGCTTTAAAAAAAAAAAAAAAACTCAGGTTCTCTGCGTGCTTCTGTTGGAGCGATGATGCATTGGGGGCTGAGCAACTGAAAAGTGACAATTATTACGACAATATTGAGAGATATTCTCATGTTGTTGGTAGCAGCGAGCTAGGCGTGGAAGGCGGTTAACCCCTTGGCACTTACTTTGCCGAAAAAGGGAGGACGAGAAGCAGAACGGTGAATGAGGATTCTCGATGTTGGAAGCTGGTTTCGATCGGCTTTGCCATTGTCCTCAAGGTAAGTACGAGAGAGGCCAGAGACAGAGAGGGAGGGCGGAGGTAGATAAGGGGGTACAGTACATTTTTGGCGCCAAGGAGTTAATCATCCTGGGAGCGTCACTCGCTCGGATCAGACAAGCCAAGCTAAGACGAGGTAGAGGAGGGACAGACGTTTGTGGCCGCCACACAGCCGTAGGGAACTCACAGAAATGCTGAAAGACTGCTAAAAGTCGGCCGGAGTTGATGCTGATGATGAGGAATTGTCAAAAGGTCTGCAAAGTGATGGAAATCGGGCTTGATGTTCACGTCGCTGATCAGATTTTTTGGCGTCGGGCGGTGATACGGTGAGCATGACTGACTATGTGGGAATGGACCTCGTGTGCGTGCGTGGTGTGTGTGTCTTGGTCCCTTGTCACTCACCACCCCCCGGTCGGACATTAGCCAAGGTCTACACGGTGATGATTATTATATCAGAGCAGCACGGAACACACGACGGCGGAAGTCTAGAGTTGAGTAGGACGTGTAGATGCAGAATTACGAGCCGTGATGTATGGGAATCAGCTGGTGATGATGGAGTTTCATTTGGAGCCAGATTCCGAAACTCTTTCTGATGACGGAAGGACAGGACTGCAGATTGTGAGCTGACTGGAAGCATGTTGCGAGCTGAGGTCTGGTTGGACGAGATTGAACACGTTCACACACGTTAGGTTAGATTTCCCGGTACGCTGCCTGGACGTGAACTGCAAAGGTACATTTCGGCGTACATTTGCGTTTCTCATTGCTTCGTTTCCCTTCTTCGCATTTTTTGCGTTTGCGCGTTATTCCCCAGTGACCTGACCTGATATTGCCTCATCGTCTCCTTTTCGCGTGCTGCAACGCGTGAAGGTATTGAAGTGTCAGCCATGTGATGCAAATGGAATCGATCGCCGTCCGTTTCTTTCGTAATACCAGCAACAGGTTAGAGAGGCAGACAGAGACTGGAAAGAATCTAGGTATCGGGCTGCATGTCGTCGTCCTGTCTGGGCATTACCAACGACTAAGACGGTACCCCCCGGTCAACCTTTCTGCCATTTTTTGATTGCCCTTCCCTTTTTTAACCTGGCTTCGATCTGGGCTGAGGTGAGGTGGATTTGCATTGGTGGCAGTCGCCCTCGTCGTCCTTCTCGTACTCTTTTTCTTTCCCTCTCACTCGACTCGCTCTCTCTTTCCCACCACAGCAGAACAGCAGAGCAGCTACCATACCAGCTGGAGGTCTCGCTTTCGCGCAGTTGATCGTCTTGAGGGTCCAGATCTGGGCGCCCACTTTCGTGTTTCCCTTCTCCCTCGGAACTCACGTCCCTCTGCTGCTAGCCTATTTTTCTTCTTTCCCCTTCGCTTGCTTACCTACAACCTGGTCTACCTTGGGACTTATTCCCATTCCATTACATACCCCCATTCATTACTTGACCGTACCTTACCTTACTTTACGTCTACTGCGTAACCGTACTGGGCTGCACTTTACCTCGTCTTTTGCTGCTGGCTTTTCCTTTACACTATTTGCCCATCCCATCCCATCCCATCCCGTCCATCCCGTTGGATCCAAACACACACGCATCCCATTCCATTAATTCCAGACCATCCCGTCCCCCTCGGTCGGCTTTATTCTCTCCCCGCCACCTACTGCAACTCTCTCTAATCTCTCCCTCTCCCTCCCTCCGTCAAACTCGACTTTGGGAAACTCTCTCCCGTCCCATCACCTCCCATCCCATCCACCACCCGTCGTTCCTTCCCTCGACTGCCCTCTCCATCAACTGCTCTCCAAACGAGCACCCCCAGTCGTTGTTGATTCACCATCGCGTCGATCAACCAACTGCGCGCTCTTGCCAGTTACAATCTATCTCTTGTTAGACAAAGACCTGGGCACACAGGGCCAGCTTCGTCACGCCACCCAGCAGGGAGATAACCGACGGGTTTCGAGCGAAAAGGCGGAACTCGGCCACAGCCAAATCTCATTTGCAGCCAAGGCATCCTTTTTTCCCTCCCAACCCTCTTTCCCTCTCTTTCTCTTACCCTCGAGGGCCCGACCGTCTGCAACTTAATAATTCTTTCTTTCGTCAAACCAAACACACACAACTTCAACTTCCCCCATCTTTATCCCCTCCCTTCGAGTCAACCTTTGACTTCGCGAGGCAATTTCGAGGGCCAAAGAGTTTCCCACTGCGCCAACTTTGTCGCTCTTCATTTCCCCTTCACCCAGTCCATACCAGGCCCGTCTTTGTCCAGGCTATTTTTTGCCCTGTCTCACAAATATACCACATCGGCTGGTCGGCAGTCGCGCTTACACTTGACCTTCAACGAGACACGTACCCAGCTACCCTGCGTTGTTCTACTTCTACTACTACAACACCTGGTCTGCCTCATCTCGTTCCATCAGATCTCAGCACACCAAGCCATCTGCCATCTCCCGTCTTGTTTTCAGTCCATCTGTCAGCAAACAGACGCGCAAACTCAACACAACAGAGCTGCAAAAATGAAGACGCAACGGGCGGCGAGCAAGGCCGCCACGGTCAAGAAGCGCAATAACAACAAATCCAAGGCAGGCGCGGCCTACAAGGTGGACACTTTTAAGGTACCCGAAAACCCGACGCTCGACGACATCAAGCACGCCGTCGGCCTTCAAGAACTCGACGCACGCGTCAAAGACGCCAAGGAGTCCTGCTGGGAAACTGAGTCCTTGCTGGAAGACGCTCTCGCAGAGCTGGGCGATGCCAAACTTTCCTCAGATGGTAGGTCGCAATTCTCTCTGACACTTTCTCTCCCCCCCAATTACCCGGACAAGGGGCATGGCAATACAATGCTACTTTTAGCCTTGGATTACGTGTTTTTCCCACCATTGGCGTTTTGTTGATGCTAACTCGCCCACCCACACCCAAAGATCCCGACACATGCTCGCCTGACGAGGCCATGGTCCTGCGCCACCAGCTCAGAGCACTCGGTCCCGCAGAATTCTGTAGAAGGACCGTCGATGCCGGCAGCTACACAGCCAAGAAGTTGCTGTCAGCCTTTGGCATCAAACCACCCAACTTCCTGGAGGGCGCCGAAGATGAGGCCTACTTCAGCATTTTGTCGCTCGCCATTAGCAGAGAGCTGTCTAAGCGCGCGAAGCTGTGGCGCTTCAACACGGTTGATGACGCCGTGGAGCTCTTGAACAAGAGTCAAAACATCATCGTTCTCACTGGCGCCGGAATCTCCACTTCGCTTGGCATTCCCGACTTCCGCTCCAAGGGTGGTCTCTACTCACAACTCGAGCACTTGGGCCTCAATGACCCGCAAGAAGTGTTTGACATTTCCGTCTTTAAGCAGGACCCGACAATCTTCTACACCGTTGCCAAGGATATTTTGCCGTCTACCAACCGTTTCACGCCTACACATGCATTCATTTCAATGTTGCAGAAGAAGGGCAAGTTGCTCACCAACTACACCCAAAACATTGACAACCTCGAGGCCAAGGCGGGCATCTCTGCCGACAAGATGGTGCAGTGCCACGGCTCTTTCGCAACCGCCACATGCGTTCAGTGCGGCTTCAAGTGCGTTGGTGACGATATCTTCCCCGACATCAAGGCTGGCAAGATTCCGCGATGCCCTCGCTGCATCCAGAACCTCCGACCCAATGGCAGCACCAAGCGCAAGCGTTCTGCGGGGACTGAGAGGAAGCGCCGCCGCTTCAGCTCCGATGACTCGACAACCGACGATGAGTATGACATTCCTAGCGCGGGTGTCATGAAGCCGGACATCACCTTCTTCGGAGAGGCTCTGCCTGACGAGTTCAGCCGTCGCCTGACTGAGCACGATCGCGACAAGGTCGATCTTGTCATCGTCATTGGTACGAGTCTGAAGGTGACGCCGGTGTCAGAAATAGTGAGCTGGCTACCCGGCAACATCCCCCAGATTTACATCTCGCGACAAGCTGTGAGTCACATCAACTTCGACATCGACCTGCTGGGCGACTGCGACGTTGTCGTTTCGGAACTGTGTCGCCGTGCCGGTTGGCCTCTTCAGCACGAGATGGTTCCTGAGGACCAGGTTGTCGACGTCCGACCCGAAGGAAGCTGTGTGAGCAGACACGTCTTCGAAGTCGTCAGGCCCGGCACGTCATCAGTAAAGCAAGAGCAACAGTCGCCCAAGAACCAAGACCAATTTTTGAAGCCGACGAAGCCTGCGAGACCGACAAAGTCGATGAAGCCCAGGAAGTCCACCTGAGCGCTTATTCGCAGCGGAACCACAACTTGTGCAGCGATTCATTGAATTTGTTGTTTTCCTACTTTCGTTCTACCTTCAGAAGGATACCCGGGCATTGACCCCTCGAGCGCACTTTCAGCGCCTTGTCGATGGTTCAGTCGGTCTTGAGAAGCGATACTAGCGCCCTGATTCGACAGCCCAAAAAGCCAAACCCAAGACGGCAACACTATTGCCGATGGCGACGCATGCGTCTACACTTCATGTGGCTGCGGCCATCGCCACGTTGCACCTACTGTGGTAATTTTCCCTCACCAGCGAGGGTCACCACAAAAACACACAACCCTGCTAGGATCTTGGGCACGAATTTCCAGTCTCCACCGCCCATTGCCACGGAGTCGGAGTTGCGGTCTAGCACAACCACCACACCCTAATTCGCCCGATCGGCCCAACAGCTTGTCATATGACTTGTTGAACTCGAGCTATGCACATCGATTCAATTATTGATTGAATCAAGTATTTCCTTTAGAGAAAGACCGAGTTCTTCGATTGCTACAGATACTGGATTGCTATGACGAGGCTGACTGGCGATTGGGCCTCCCCATTTCTTGGCCTTGTTCCTTTTTCTTTTTTTTTCTCTCTTGGGCCACATTTCATTTCAGACTGGCGTGCGGTTTACACAAACGGACCGGGGAAACGGACACACGGTGGGATAACGGCGTTCGCAAGGGAAGGGACTGATAATTCCTATCAAAAAGGGCATCGATTTTGTTTCCTTTATCATGGCTTTTTTTCCTCTTTTGTCAGAATACCTAGAAACCTAAAACAGGTTCAACCCGCGTCTTTTCATTGGTCTTTCAACCTTTTCGTAGCAGTAGAAACAGAATCAGACTGCTTTAGTTGTAGCACTGACAATCAGCGTGAATCGCGCCCGTGTGTGTATGTGTGACATGTGGCCTAAGTGTGCCTGAGCGTTTGCCCTCTTGGTACTGCGTATGTTCACCAAGCTGGTCATGTTCCAGTCAATTGCATTACGCATCTCTGTCGTACATATTGATGCCTGCATGCTGACAGTGTGGCGGTGACTTAATAGCCCAACCTGCTATCACGCCCTCCCTCATTCGTCCTAGCTGACCAGTGTCATCCCAGTGTCATCTTACATGCACCAAAGTGCAAACAGTCACACAACCCCAAACACTTATTCACATAGCCTGCCTTGTTCCCCAAGGACTATGCGTCTCCCTAATGAGGCTCTCGAGGACTTGGCGAAGAGGGGGAAATATGGAAACTATTATTTGTCTGCCTAGCAAGAAGCAGGCTAGCAATATTGTCGCATCAACTTACCTGTTGCAGATTTACACACTAAGGGGAGCCATCGTCCGAAAATGTCGGAGCCTGGGAATTGCGTGTCCCTTTCCTTTTCTCAGATGACGGGACTCGAGGTGACTTGACGAAATATAACCAACTGCAGCGTCAGCAAGCAAGCGCTTATCAGTGCGCGACGGGGGTTTTTTCGATGCTTCTAGGGTAGGGTTGATTGATTTGATGGAGATGATCTTGGTCGGAGTTTGACACCGCCACGGCGGTCCCACCATCGTCGTTTGGGATCCTTCCGTGCGCTGCGTGACGGTGACTTGTATTGGAGGCTTGGGATTGTCGACGTAGATTCTTCCTCGCCTCTAGGATTCCGAGAGAAAACTTTGCCGGGCTAGCTTAGTTGATTGAGGCCTGCTGGTGTTGGAAAACTTGACCGCGCGGTTCACGAGGTCACGGCAAGCGTGTCTGCCCACACAGCCGTCGACACAACGCTGAACAGGAATTTCCAAGCAGGCTTGGGAGGACTGTCAGTCGCAGAAAATCCGTACAAATCGTCTTCGTCACAGAGACGAACTAAAGGTATCAAACCTCTTGTGCCGTGAGGTTAAATACTCTCTGCCTGCGGAGGCTCAATTGATATATGCCAAGAAGTTGACTTCGAGATGACCTGTACCAGTCTACCTCTTTTATTGTCTCTAAACATGGAAGTCCGATGTCTAAATGAACGCAGGGAGATACACGACGTATCGTTAGAGGTTTGCACGCAGACATTGGACTTCACCGAACAGCATTTCTAGTCGTCGTCTCTACTTGATCCAAGGTATTAGGTAGGATGAATAGGAGACGCCAGCTTCATATATCCGGCTGGAAATGCTTGCGGCGTCGTGTAGTCCCGATGCTCCATGCTGCCATTCACCGCCGATACTATGTTGCCTACATGGTCATTCGAGGCAGGGATGCCGAGAACTCCTTCAACGTGACCCTTTGCAAACAAGTTGAGGATGTGCTTCTTTGGCAAGTTGAACTCCCTGCTCAGTCACCTTTCTCTCTAAGGTACACAGAAAAGGACTGGAGATGTGAGTAGTTTGAGTCGATCAGCAGAGCCTGCAGAGTTGTCCGTACTCTCCCTCCCCAGCTGGTGCCAGATATGTGACAATTCACCAGTGAGAGTGAAGGCAGCGGTAGACAATTCGTCGTTGAAAAGGCACTCTTCGCATCATTGATCGAAGTAGAAGAAACCTTTGCGGTGCTGAAGTATCACATTGTGAGGTCCATCCCGCACGCGTCTTGGTCTTGCTTGTAACATGTCATCGGGAGCTTTGCTTAAGCTGTCTACGATTGCCGGAACCGATGACAAGAGGCCCGTACTCCAAAAGCCTCATCAAACTCGGTTGTACGTGAAATTATTCGGATGCGTTACTCTCTGAACAAATGGTTGATATTCGTCTCGTTCCCAAGTGAACCACTGGAAAGACAGCGATGATAGTTGCCAACCGATCAGTTTTGTGTATTCGCATCCTCGTACAGTTCTGAATACCTATCTAAAACTCCTCCTATGGTAAACCAGACTCCCTGACGCCTCACAAAGAAGCAACCGGAACTGATGGGTACAAGTCACAGCAAAACACAAAATAGCTATGAATGCCCCCATGTCCAAGCAACACAACCCTTCAGCTAGCCCAGTAAACCTTCTTGTCACCGAAAACCCATCAAACTACATGTTGCTTGCCCATCCTCTGGCGGAATCCTTGAAAGATCAAGGCAGGCTGAGCCATAAGGGTAGCCAACACACATCGCCCCCATTGCAACCTGAATAGTTCACCGGTAACCAACGGCTGCACCAAAACCAAACAACCAACCCAACGACAACGTACACAAAATCCGAACCACGACTGTCCCTAAAGCTCTAACCCTCCATCCACCTTGTCAGCCCGAACCGACCTCCTGCAAGGGCCGGACGCTGCGGGTAGCATCGCCACATCGAACCGAAACCACAAGGTCTAACAAGCGAGTTATCAAAAGTACCTCCAACAAAAATGTCAAGGCAAGGGAAATTGAATTCCATGACCAACAGCGCGTAGCCTACCTCAACTCTGCCCTCCCTCCTTCCCCCCTCACGCACTCGACCAGTCACGGTAGCCGCCGAGAATCTCTATCACAGCGTCTGCATCAACAACCCCCAAGCGAGCGACCCAATTGTGGTTGGCTCCGGTGTGGGTGGGGTCCCAGGATGGGGCTTGACTCAACCGCATCCGGAGATCAGACACGTCAATCACGCAAGGCAATGAAGGAGTCTGTTTTGTTTGATTCTGATTCAATATTTTCAATTATGGTTTCTCGGTCTCTCTCGATCCATGTCTCTCGATCCTTAATGTTCGGGCGTTCGGGCCTGCGGTCTCTATCAAAACTTGAGAAAATAACGTTCGGGAACGACCGCGATCCCTGATGGAGAATAATATCCGTACAAATACAAATACACACAAGCGCACTGCTTTATTGGTGGTTTTTTTTTCGCTCACAAAACGCCGCAATCCATATGTATAACTTGGCGCAATTAATTACTCACTCCGCGCCCTTCTTTTCATCCTCTGCTTTTTCGTTGGTAGGCTCCTCTCGTTCCTCCCGAATGGAGTTCTCCCGGGAAACTCCTCTCCTAATATTGCTGTCCTCGTCACTTTCCCGGCGAGGTCTGCGATCCGCAGGTGACCAGTTGGCGGCGATGCCGGCGGCGACGATGCCCGCCATGACAGTCGGCGCGCCGAGGGCCGAATTAGAACGGCTACGCGAGCTGCGCGATCTCTTTCGGGAGTCAGGCGTTTGAGCCAGCGAGCCAAAGCTATCCTCTCGCGTGGGAGTGGACGGCGTCTTGATAGAGTTGCTTCGCGAGTGTGACGGGCTACGCGAGCGAGCAAAAGTCTCGCGGGGGTGTTGAACCGCAAACTTGAGGTTGTTCAAGCGACCTCCCTTCATGCGCTTGATGAAGGCCAACTCGTCGCGAACATCGGACAAAGGCGCAGGGTACATCTCGAACTGTTCCTCATCTGAGACGGTAAGCCCAGGAACGGTGTCCTTGGCACGTCGCTTCAGATAGTCGGGAACAAGTCGCTCGACGAAGGAATCGGGGACGAGGCGAATGACGACACCGAAAGGAATGGAAATGACGCCAAGGATGACGGCCATAGCCCATTGGATGCCGCTCTGTCCTTCTCCGGCAATCTGGAAGGCAGCACCGCCAACGAAGATGATCAAGACCTGACCAGCAATCATGATGGCACTGATCGCGATGAAGAAGTAGTTCTTGGTCATACCCTCAAAGATGTTGAAGTGATTGTCCAGTCGTCGGTTGTTCCACTGGTTGAAGATCTGCATCCAAACGAAGGTGTTGAAAACCATTGTGGCGATCTGGTCATCGGGGATGTGCTCAGGGCCGGGTACGATGGCTTCCTTGCCGTAGAAGAGCATGAATGTGATGGCCAGTTGGTAGACCGCCTGTCCCAGAATCATCTTCCACATGGTTGTGGTAATGATGGAGGCGTTGCGCTTCTCGGGCTTCCTGTCCAAGACGCTGTCCTGAGGAGGGTCGGTGGCCAGAGCCAAAGCAGCGAGGGTGTCCATGATGAGGTTGACCCAGAGCAGCTGCACGGCGGTGAGGACCGAAGTGCTGCTGACTGCAGTAACGAAAGTCAGAATGACGGCGGTGATGTTGA